TTGGTTCACTTTTCTTTGATGGAAAGTCTTCGGCCTTAACGTTTATTGTTCCCCTCGCCGTGCTCTACCTTTCCCCTTTATTAGAATTCAGTTTTGACCATTTCTTGAGTTTGGTTTTGAGGTCAAGTTATGATTTTGATGGGGCTTTGATGGGGGTTATGTTCACGGTGTTGTCCCCGACAAAACCTCTCGGTATCGTCTAATTCGGAGCACTTTTATTTTGGTGGGCCTTTGGGATTTTCATCTCAAATTGAGGTAGGAGATGTTCTAGGTTTAAATTCTTATTATATAGCATGCTTGTGATGCTTATACTACTTGTTTGCATGATTAAATATAAAATCTAGAGATTTTATTATTTATTTTTCTTGTACGGGATTTAATTTTTCCGGTTACTCATGACTTGGTTTAAACATGTAGCATGATTTTATATTACCCCTTGATATGCTCATTGTCGTGTATTAAAATTGGAACATTTGAATAAGTATTAAAGATTTTATTTAATATTTATCTTAGGTGAAAGATTAATTCACATGGCCTTAACTAGTTTAAAATCAATATGTGTTAGCATATTAAATTAGGCCTTTGCATGCTCTCCAACATAGTTGAATTTGAAAGTAATTGGAGGTGTTTTGAAAATTAGTAATTATTAATTAATTAGATTAATTAATTTACCCCGAGTGCACTATTCACTCTATTTAAATTCCGACTTGATATTCTTAACTTACATGCCATATACCTTCACATATGTTTGATTTAGAATATTCGGTTAAGTTTTCAATCATTTCATTTAATTAAATTCCTTGTTTAAGATTTAATCCTCATGGTGATATACAACTTGGAATTGAATTGTGGCATGCTAGAAAATTAAGCTTTGGTGTGGTTGTTCACATATATTAAATTGGGATTAATTGCATGAGAATTGCAACTTTTAATTTATATTTAACTTTAGTGAAATGTTAAGTCACATGGTCTTAAATTGAATGAAATAAGCTTGTAATGTGATATTACATTAGTCCTTGGCATATTCTCTAAGATATGTTAAATTGAGAGCATTTAGTTAAGTTTAAAAATCTAGAGATTTTAATTAAAATAATTAATTAAAATCTATTTTGTGGTCCCATTAGCTTAATTATGGTTATAACTTGATATTTGTATTGGCCATGACTTGTTTACTAGTATATATTAATTTGGGACTATTAGAAGTTGTTTTAGAACCTTGGTAATTAAATTAGCATGATTTAATTAAAGTTCTACTTTGTTGTTCCAACAAGCTAATTGAGTTTTAGAATGGATATAGGTGATGACCATACCATATCCTTTAACATGTATTAAATTGAGGTTATTTGGAATTGAATCGGAATCTAGAGAATTTAAGTGTGTTTATCTATTTAAATTCTTTCAATTTGCTCCATGATCTAGTTGTGTTTTAGAAGTGGTTTCTATATTCAAATCATGGACTTAGACTTGTTGTATATTCATTTGGTTATGTTTTGAGCATTGGATAACATAGTTGTTATGTTTATACTCATGAGAATATGTTTTCCTTATTGAATATATTGTTGCCTTGTGTAATGATTTGCACATTTCGTATTTAACATCATTCATGCATAGCGTGTAACAAATCGCACACTGAAGATTCGACATTCATCACATCATATTAGTTGTGGACTTAGAACATATATTGTATAGGTTTCCAAATTTGGTTGTGCTTGGTAGATAGTTGATTATCTTGCATATTCCTGTTGATATATGCGTTGTTGCACAACTTGTTGATTTTGGAAACTTGGGGATGTCGTTGTTTGACTATGGCTAGGACGTGATTCTAGTACGGGGGATAGTCCCTCTATATGGTCTAGTGCGCACATAGGGAGGTTATCCATGGGCTAGTAACCCTAAAGTAACTATGTTGTTGGTCTGATCCGGCGTGACATCCGAGTATCCACTTTGTTTGATTTCGCATTTCATTTTCAAGTTGATAACTAGATGATGTTGTAACTTGTTGTTTCTTATTTGTCGTTCCATTTTAAGTTACATGATGTTAACTTTGCGAAATTGTGCTTTATGCGTTGTATTGGAAGTTCCAATGTTGGTTAAATTGTATCGATATTTAAAATCGTGTTTTGACGTTCTAATAAAGCTTAGGATTGATCCTATTGATTCATTTATAATATAGACGTTAGGTGGCATGAACCACTACTGTTATTTTGTGCTTTAGATTCTAAGTTGATGGCTTTGAGAACTTAAACCTTGTTGCATTGTATAACATGCTCTTTTGTTGTTGCATTGCATGGATAATGTGATTCTTATTAACTTATATTCAAATATGCTTTTGTCATGTTGTATGGATTACTCTAGACCTAGTTCAATTGTATTGAAAATGCAGTTCATGTTAATCTATGCTCAAGCATTCTTCTTGTCGTGTTCTTTAGATTATCCCAACCATGATTCATTTCATACATGTATGTATATCATGATTCTTGTTGCTTAGATTCTAAGGTAGCTTAGGATGCTCCCCGAGTCTTACTTGGACATAGACATTAGGTGGCATGAGCCCCTTTAACATGTTTCACCATAAGGTGGTAATTTGTAAAATGCTAGGTCGATGCATGCTCATCTCCTACGAGTAGCTTTATGTTACTCACCTCTACGATACTGGGGCATATTTCAGGTACGAAGACTTGGTTCGTGACGCCTAGCATTCCTTGGATGTCGTGTAGCTTTTAAGTTTCCATTTCATGCAAATGTTAGTATGAAATGTCATTTTGTAGACTTATATGTCAAAATATGTATATTTGATTCCATGTATGTAATGTGTACTTAAGTACACTCCTTTCAATGTATTTGATATGTATGAGATGAGGCCGGAGGCCAATAACCATTATATTGTGTCATATGTATCTTTTGATTTCTTGAAAATTTATGAGAACCTTGAAAAATCGCAAGTTATTGGTTCACCATAGTTGCATCGGGTGTGGGAATTCCATTTTCATTCTTTCATAGGGTTTTATAAATCATGTTTGAAGTATGGCCAAGAGCCAAACGGTCATTTGATCCCGTTTTGTATTTTTAGATTCCGAATTTTCATTCCAAATTCCATTTTTGCCTTTTTGCCCGTTGGGGGGTCGGATTTTGTATCGGTGGTATTTTTAAGTCGTGGACCATTGTAGCACCTCCAAATAGGTAAGTTACGTTTGCGTGCATGGTTGCTTCCGGGAAAAACCTTATCGTTTGTGTTTTGAGCCTCTTGTGAATTCATTTCGCATTTTTTTTGCATATTCTGATATAGGGGCATTATGGACCTTTCACATCAATTTTATTTTCTTCTTTTGACATGGTTGAATAGAAAACATGATTTTAGGGGGGGTTTCTTATTCGTGTTTTTTCAGAAAATGTCGTCTTGGTACCGGAAATCCCTCGTGAAGTTTCAGCTTCCAGTTTTGATTTAGCAGCTTTATGACCCTCTTGTTCAGTTCTGTTCTAGGGGCATTTTGGGGATTTCACAGTGAGTTTTTTTCGATTCCGTCCGCAATTTCAGGTAGAAAACTCAATTTTATGGGGGGTTTCTTCTTCGTGTTTTTCTAGAAAAACTCGTCTTGACCTCCGTTTCAAGCCTCAATTCTGGGCAGATAAAAAAAAATGTAGCAGCAGCCAAGGGTTGCCACCAGCCATGTCTTTGGGTGCCGGCATGCACGCCGGTGGGCTCGCGCATGGGCGCCGTGTGCGCTATGGTTCCTCATCGGGCCGCCGCGACGTCAATTATTCTTTTGGGCTTTTCTCCTTCGTCCAGACTCCAATTCAAGTGAATTTTTTTTTAACTTGACTAATTTTTCGCTGTCTTTCCAACGGTGTGCTCGGTTGCACCCGGTTCTTCCTGGATAATTACCAGTTTACCCTTTTTGCCTTAAGTGCTTGTTTTTCTTCGCCATGCCGTTTCTCTTTCGTCTGGACTCTAAATCATGCGATTCTTGAGTCCATCTTGATTAGTTTTTCTTTGTCTTTCCAGTGGTGTGCTCGGTGACACCCGAATCTACGATTTTCAGAAATGACTATTTTGCCCCTGGGGGCTTATTTGTCATGTTTTCGATTTTTTGCTTCCGCATCAGTTCTTGTTGAGTTCCACGACCTCATGGAAGGTCACTTTGATTTCTTAGAGTCTTATTTTCTATTTTCGCTTCTGCATTCGGATCCGTTATCGGATCATCCTTACGGTTCATCACAGGACACGCTAGCCTAAAAACCAGGATCGTCACAAAAAGAAATATAATAATAATTTAATTATTATATAAAAAAGAGACAAAATAAATAATCCCTATATTTAAGTGTTTATTATTAACCAAATATTAAAAATATTTTTTTAGTGGTTTAGTTCATTTAATTGGTTTATCAATCAATCTATTCTCTATTAATGTGACAATGATTACTGATTACAACATTGTGTGAGAACATATATATACTAGGGGTGACCATGGATAGGGATTTGATTGTATTAAATATAAATTTTAATTTAATGGATTGAACAAATTTTAATTCGTCACCAATTCGTTATCCAACGAATCGGATCGAATTCGTATAATAACGAATCGAATCGAATTGAATTTTATCTAAATTATCTATTATTATTTTTATATTTAATATTATTTATTTATCATTTAACCATAATCTAATAAATAATATTTTAATTTATTAACATTAAATTTATATATTTAAATAATTAATAACTAATATAATTTCAAAATTAATTAAATTATCATTAACTAATTAAATTAATTAATATATATTTAAAAAAATATATATAAATTTCACGAATTCACAAATCAGATTAAATTTTTAATAATCGTGATTCGATTCGAAAATTACAAATTTAATTTTTTTAAATTAAATCAACCATCGATCTGAGTAAGTGTAACAATTGGATTCAATTCCATCTGCACGAATCCAACCCGATGAGTCACATTATTTGTCCGACCCTAATATATATCACCCATATTCGGGACAAGGGGCGGAACGACCTCTCTATCCACTTACTGCCCGTCTTGGCGTTTCCTGTTGCTCCGATCTTACCTAGCTGGCGAGCGAGCGACACACTACAAAAACAGCAAGCGAGCGTAGCTTTGTTCGCTTCTTCTCCACCAAGCACGCAAGTTTGAATGATAACTGTAGGTCAGTTTGGGTATTTGAAAAGAATAGTTTGAAATTTCTTTTGTTTTCTTTTTTTTGAAGTATAATTATCTTCTTATTTTGGGCCTTCTAATACGGTAAACACAATTGTGTCTGTAAATAGTTGATCGTTGATTTTATCCGCTGAACCCTAATGGGTAGGAGGCTCTCCTCCGTGGTAGATGTGCCCGCCGAACGACGTCGCAGCCGCAGAGAAAATGGTCGCTACTCACCAGAATCTGACAACTCCGGTGACCACCGACGTCGAAGCCGGACTTTTAGCCGTAGCCGGAGCCGTAGTCGAAGCCCGGCCAATGGTCACATCAGGTATGACCACTATTCCGATCGTCGTTCTGGTCGTCGGCCGTCTCCCGATTACTCAAACTATAGAAAAAGCCCTATATCAGAAACCCTAAATTCGGAAAAAAGATCCAACTACGATGATCGCAGGAACCGCCCCGCACCTTTTCTTGATCGTGATCAAAGGAATGGGCGGGTTGCGGACTCCGATTCGGATGAAGAGTTGAGAGGTATGAGTTTTGAAGAGTACCGGAGAATCAAACGTCAGAAAATGAGGAAGATGTTGAAGAATTGTATATGGAATGTCACACCGAGTCCTCCTAGAAACGATAACGAACGGTATGAACTGGAACTGGAGGAAATTACAGAGAAGTTTGGAGACGAGGAAGAAAACAACGAGTCGAGAGAGAAAGAAAAAGGCACGGAGAAGATGAAATCAAAACTGGATTCTGGAAGTTCAAGAAGTGGTTCTTCAGATTCCGAATCTGGTTCTGGGTCTCAATCTGACGATTCACTGTCTGAATCAGATGATTCGCGCTTAAGGAAAAAGAAAAAGGGCAAGAATTCGAGGAGTTCTATCCGTAGAAGTAGGAAATCGGTATCTGCATCCGATAGTGAATCGGACGAGTCCAGTGATGGCTCAGAAGAAGATAGGAGACGGAGGAGGAAGACACGGAGGAGAAGTAGTAGGCCAAACAAGAGCAGTAAGAACAGTAGTAAGAGAAAACGCAGTAGTAGGAAGAACAGTGATAGCGATTCCGATGAAAGCCTGAGTGAAAGTGAGGAATCTGATGTCAGTGGACGTTTGAGGTCGAAGCGGAGGCACTCTTCATCTTCTCGGTCAAAGCTTAGTAAGAAGAAGAAACATGCTGAAACTGACGGTGAGAGTTCATTTTCAAAGGAGAATTCTGATTCTGAAATCGTTGCAAATATTATACCTCAGGTGGATAATGCTGGGATAAATGAAATTAACAGTGAAGAGCTCATATTCAAAGATTTGATTGAATCACAGAAGAAACCTGCTTTGGATAACGAACCAGTTGTCGGGCCAATGCCTTTGCCTAGGGCTGAAGGACATATTAGTTATGGAGGGGCACTTAGGCCTGGTGAAGGTGATGCCATTGCTCAATATGTTCAACAAGGGAAGCGTATCCCACGTAGAGGTGAAGTTGGTCTTTCAGCCGAGGAGATTCAGAAATTTGAGTCTCTTGGTTATGTAATGAGTGGTAGTCGGCATCAAAGGATGAATGCTATTCGTATCAGGAAAGAAAACCAGGTTTATAGTGCAGAGGACAAGAGGGCGCTGGCTATGTTTAACTATGAGGAAAAATCAAAGCGTGAGCACAAGGTTATGGCTGATCTGCAGCGGCTGGTGCAACGCCACATTGGGCAGGATACTGGCCCTTCTCATGATCCTTTTGGTGGAAGGTCCACTGAGGGTGCCGATACGTAATCCTCATGTATGTCATTTTTCTTTTTCCAGTTTCTGGATTTTTGACTTGTTTGTTAAGTTTCCATTTGTCTTTCAATTATTTTTATATTCCAGCAGTTTGGTTTAGCATGTGCAATAATGATTAATTGAGGGTGTGAATCATTTTGTAGGTTAATTCTTCATTACATGCATAAATATTATATTATGCTGATGATCTAGAAGAATATTATGCTTGCAAACTTTCAGAGTTGTTAATTTAATGAAAATGAAACAATTTAGGTTTAACACATTGCTATTGTTTGGAACATCAGGCAATTGAGGAAACTGGTAATAATTTGCAGTAGACAATTTTGATTATAAATAGGGAGGGTGTCTTAAATGTGTACTGTCTAGATGAACCACTAGTTAATAGAGTTTGGTGTAGAACGATCCTACCAAGAACTTGTTCGTATTCAAAAAGCATCTTTGGATGCATAGATCAATTTTGGTTTTCAAAGGAAATGCAAAGAAATGGGTAACATCTCAACCAAATGAAAAGGAGATAGTTTAGGTTTTATCTTTGCATATGGTTTGGGTTGTCAGTCATCGTAAGTATTTGTTAGTGTTTTGTTGTGGACAAGCTCGAGTTTAGATAGAAAAACTGTTGGTTTGTTAAGTAAATGAATCGAACTCAAACTCATGAGCACAAACCCATCTAGCCCACATGCCTAACTCAGAAGGCCATGTCTGGCAGTTTCGTTTGAGCTCATTAAGTTTTTTATTTTTTATAACCTCAGATCTTAAATCCTATTAAGGCCCATCAAAGAGAGATGTTATAAGGTTTGGTTAAGAGACATATCCATACCCATCATAATACCCTGAAAAATCACAATCTGTAGATTTTCTCTTCTATCTCATCTCTCTCTCTAGCTTGGCTTGTTTTGGTGTCCCCCCCGGGGCTGGAATACTGCCTCAAGTGCATTTTTGGTGTCGATTGCTATATGTAAATAGGGTAATTTTTTCATGTTAGTAGCTGAAGGGGAAAATTCATTTGCAATGAAAGGTGGGATGCTACTATTTTATCCCAAGTTTCACAATGCCATTAAAATGTAGTATCATTTTGGTAGACTAGATATTCGAGCTCTTCTTAAAGTGAATTGACATGGTAAGACAAATGTATTATGACGAGAATATATTTGCAATGATATTATTTGATAGATGGAATGAGGATTTGTTAGAATAACGTAATAGGAAGATATCTCAATAATGCTTGATTCCGGTGAACTAACATAGGATATGCCATATTTTGGGAGCTATTTTTATAGTGAATATGACAAATTATTTTGAAAACAGTAGATTTAAGATTATGTTTTTTAATAGATGGTATGAGGTTCAGTCAAAAATTGAGATTTCACGAAGTCTGAGGGCATGCATATGGTTCATCTTTCAGGTTTTTGTATCGGTAGATAAGAAAGGTCTTTGTCAAGAAGTATGTGTTATATGGTAATTTTGGGTCCATCTTTTGGTTGGAGTGACAGTAAATGAAAACATTGTTTTATAATGGCAGTATAATTTTCTACAGTGGACAGCGTATAACTGAGTTTTGTTCTATGGACTAGCTGTTGGGCACATACAAACATGCAGCAACTACTTGGAAGAAGAAAAGAAAAGAAAAAGAAAAAAAACCTTTTTCTAACCCCTTTGTCTAATCACATTTGATTACGTAGATAGTTATATCAAGGTTCAATGTACTCAGTGAGGAAATTCAATTTCATGAGTTATATTTTATTACTTTCTAGGCAGAGTGTGTGGATGTGTTGTTTGCTTTTGCAATCTTCACACAAGATTGCATGAAATCCCGAAGATGAACATAGATTGAAAATAAAAAGGAAAAAGAAAAGAAGAAATTCTCTCTCTTTCATTTGATCTTTTTTTTTTCCTCTCCCCCTTTTGTGTAAGGACCATTATCTTAACGTGTCAAATAACTTGACCTCATGGATTTTAAATTGGAGCAACCCATGTTCTGTTAGTTGGATGCATTAGTAAATGATTTAAAATTACTTGATTTAATAAGGGACTTTGATCTCTTCTTTTTCTTCAGGAGAAAGAATTTTGTTAAAAGGACGAACAAAGATCCCCGGACTCCAATAGTTATTTTATTTTTTATTCTTATCTAAGAGGTGCTGCTAAAGAAGATCATCAACTGCTAAGGAAGGCCATATATAGTAGAAAAAGTTTAGAATATTGATTTTCATTATGTATCATTTTTTAAAGCATCCAGAGACCACTTTCTGTTTAATTTTGGATGAGTTCTGTGGTTTGCTTGTAACTTTTGTCTGACTATACAAGTTTTCAGGGTTGTTTTCATTCTATTTCTAACTTAAAAATGTAACCATACCACAAAGTTCTTTCTTAGCACCTCCAAGTCTCCTCCATGTTAACATCTTTAATTTGACCAGGGAGCTTCTAATTCATCAGTGTAGAGTAAGTATTGCAGTTTTCCATGTCCATCGGAGAATTTCCATTTGGACTATCATATTTGCTGTATGCTCACATTTTTTTCTTTTCTTTTTTCTTGAGTGGAAAAAAAAAAAAAAAAAAAAACACACACCAAAGTGCCAACGTTTGATAAAGAAGGTCGATAACCATTGCCATGCATTCATAATATATTTCTACATTTATTCTTACTTTATAGTTTGGTTTGATTTTTGGTTAGTGATTAATTGTAGCAGTCTAACTTTGTAACCTGTAGTAGTCACTGCAGCAGTTCTTTGTTTAATTTAAAGAAGGAATGAGCACTACGACTTGTCTGTGTGTTGTCATTTTTGGCTATTGGAACTACTTATCAAAAAAAAAAAAAAAAGAAGAAGCCTATTGGAACTTATACACGCTCAACTCTTTTCCTTTTTACTGCGCCTAAATTAGTTACTATATTGTCGACTTTTTGTACTTGAGTATACATTAGCAGTGGAAGCATGCCTTTTATGTTTCTTTATGATTTTTTTAAGCAGTCTGTAAAATTTGCCTTATTTTGTGCATTTGTGCTGTTTCCTTATTTACTTCTGCCCTTTTTTGTTTTTTGTTTTTTTTCTTTGGGTGGGGGAAGGGGTTGGTCCATTATGAGCCTGGAGGTTGATCAAAATCTCTCTCTCGCAATCACACGCGCACACACAGAGTGCAACTTATCTATATTTTCTGTTTTGACAATATTATGATTTCTGGGCAATTGGTTAGTGTTCTATTTTCTATTATTTGATTTGAAGAGATTTGATATCTAGAGCACTTAAGAGATCGAGTATTCAGAAGAGTTTTTGACATGTTATTATGGGTTGCTTGATTAGTTACATATTGAAGTGTTGCAATTGTGTTATTAACTTTCAAGCTTTAATTCTTTTTGTTTGATATTTGAAATGGTATTTTCATAGCTTCTATTTCTCTACATGATGATATAATAGGCTGAAATGAGCTGTTCAGTTTTGAATCGAATGATTTTTGCCAGTTTTGTAGATTCACCTAGTTTTTGGGTTAGTGGTTGCTTATTCTCTTGAATTTTGTAGCTTCTTTCTATTTATGCTGTTGTGAATCATGCAATCTAGGTGAGCATATCATTATTTCCTGTTAATTGAATTGTTTGTTAAAAACCATTTTTGGGGTCTGGGTTCGGACAGAAAATTGAGCCATGCTTTTTTTGTTTCGTCAGAGTTGCCCCTCTTGGAGTCTGATACATAGTTGTCAAAGGCGCCTACAGGCGCCATCATGTCGCCTATAAGGGCTAAGGCGACTGGCTTTAAGTAGGTGCGCGCCTCTGCTACAATGGCGCAAGGCCACAGGCGCTTAAAAGGCGCACCTGCTTGAAAAAGGCTTTTTTTTTTTACTTGTTTTGTTATTATTTTTGTTTGGTATTGTTTATTATTATTATTTTTGGCAAGTATTTGTTTATTATTACTTTTTATATAACTTAACAAAACTTACAAAACAAAAAAAATAAAAGAAAACCAAAAGAGCAAAAGGAAGAAGACAAAGGCCAGGGGTTGCGAACCACAGTGAATGCGAAGGCGAAGCAATCTCGGATCTGCCGAGTCACAGTGCCGGATCTCTCGGATCTGCCGACTCACGGTATGTTCTTCTTCTCTCCTTCTTCTATTCTTCTTCTCTCCTTCTTCTCTCTCTTCTTCTTCTCTCTTCTCTTCTCTTGGCATCTTTTTCTCTCTCTTCTTCTTCTTTTCTTCTTCTCTCTTCTCTCGGCTCTCCCGAGTCTCGGCAGAATTCTTTACTTTTCTTCTTCTTCTCTCTTCTCTCGGCTCTCTCGAGTCTCGGCAAAATTGTTTTCTTTTCTCTCTTTTTTGGTTCCCAGTTTTGGGTGTGTAATTGTGTATGTATGTCTTTGGACTTTTCCTTTGTATTACATAAGGACACATTTAATATATATATATTGATCACATACGTGTTTGTAGCCAAACTAAAATTGTGTAACTGAAATTTTAAAAAATTATAAATCAATTGAACATTATTTTTCTTACCATATTAGTTTTGTTATATGTTTTGACGAATATATATATATATATATTTTAAATTTGCAGTCATTGAAAAAAACTGGTTGACTAGAGAATATAAGTGCTTCACTACATATATGTTAATTGAAATTATTGAATCACTAAAAATTAAATAAATTCAATCAAATTGCAATATTCAGATGGTTTTTTTTTTTTCTTTCATAGTTGTGTAGTTGAATTACAATTTAAATATATATATATATAAAAGTTGAGATCGAAATAATTTCCATAATTCTCCTTAGTTGACTATTGCATCTTTATATTAATATGTTATTATGTTTGATTATTCACTGTTGAACTCAAGTACTTGATTTAGTTGGCTTTGGTATCTTTATGTTGAATATTGAACTTAAGTAATTGATTTAGTTGACTTTTACATCTTTATATATACTATTGCATCTTTATTGGGTGGGTTTTTTTTTTTTTTTTTTTTTTCAACGTGCACCTTGCTTCAGTCGGGCGCGCGCCTCGCCTTGAGCCTCAGCCTCCAGGAGGCCTTTGCGCTTTTGTGCGCCTTGAGCCTTTAACAACTATGGTCTGATACATTCTTTTTTTTTGTTTTTTTTTTTTTTTTTTTTGTTTCAAGTGACACTTAAAAATAGTATATATATTTTTATCAACTTAAAATAGTACTCGTAATTGATTTCCTATGTTGCTGCCCTCCGAGCATATATCTTCTTGATTTGATTACATATGATATTACTTTTACATGTCAATATGAATATCAACTTGACTATAGAAGGGGTGTTATTTTGTCGTTCTTTGTTTTGTTTGCTTAACTGTTCAAATTGATGTAGATACATCTTGTTTTATTGGATCAGGTGCGATTTACATTTCACCTCGTTAGGTCAGTATACACACACTTTTATAATGGTTCCTAAATTGTTCACCTTTCTCCCCTATAATTGCACAAGTGGTATTAGGGTTCTTTTCCAAATGAATTGCCTTTTGATTGCTTTGCGGTCCTTTATTTCACTTTTACGGGCAGTAGTTTTTAATCTTAACATTACATCTGCAAATGCTGCGGATGGGCAGCTCTCTAGCCGGATTTGAGCCAAGTTGGTTCCTAGAAGGCCTTTGCTGGTGTAGGTATAGAAGGATATAATGTAGTGGGATTGGGTGTGGTTATTTTTAGCCATGGTTGCTCCTGTAGTCCTATTTTGTGCAATCGAGCATTTGATTGCCTGAATGATTACCCAAGATCACCATTTTAGGGAGAAAAGAGATGGATAGATATTGCAGGAGAGATAAAGATGAAAGAGATAAAACATTGCAGGAGAAGATAGAAAGATAAGAGATGGGAGAGACTGCCATGTTCAAGCTTATATAGGGTTGTTTCACAGATAAAAGGGTAGAATGGAAAATAACACAATATATCACATCATATGTCTCTATTTTAATAATAAAAAATTTAAGAATCAAGTAGAGCAGTATAGAAATGAATCGTTCGCCATTGAAGAATTATAGTAAAAGTCGCTGCCTCTAACTCGATAAAAATAATAATTTGAGGGGAGGGGGTGGGGGGAGGTTGGGGAAGGACCCAACGAACAGTAGAAACCCTAGAGCCAAGTTGAGATGAACTGATCCACATCCTCTACTGCATATATATATATATATATATATATATATATATATAAATACGCACACATATATATATTTTATTTTGCATATATATTGCACGGAGTTATCTATATGTTAAGAACAAAAGAGATCATAGCTGGGTCTCTTTTTACACACACATCATTTACTCTTGCTAGATGTGGCTGTGGATATTTGAGTTCATGCCTAATATTTTTTGGTAAGAATTTCAGTATCCAAAATTACTGATAAGTGGAAAAATGTATAGGTAAGATATGAATCTCAAAAGAGAATCCAAATCTTTTAAAAGTTGAAAAGACAAAATATGTATGTATATGTTACCATTTTATTTGAAAAATCACTACAGAAATATGTGAAGTCTGACAATGTCCATTAATGTTCAGTGCACAAGACCAGTGGTACATTTTGAACTAAACAATGACACATATGAATTATATGTGAGTTATGCTTTAGAGTACAGGACTTGCTAGCTGCTCCATCATATGAGTACATGTACTATCTATCTGAACAGCTTGCTCCACAATGAACTTTTACATCATTTACAAATTATATATCATTAAGCATCAACTTGAATCTTTAATAACAATTTCTGTGCCAAACAAGTCATCACTGATCAGTGGCATCTTCAAATATATAAATGACTGAGTACTATCACTGTTAAAGGCTTAAAGCATTACAGAATCTTATCTGTGATTTATCCCCAAGTCCATATAGCCCTTAATATTAATTCAAGAGAAGAAAAAAAAAAAGAAGAAAAGAAAAAAATCAAGATTCCATTGATCTTGTTTGCGGTGGGGTTATTTTATTTTTTGATTTGATTGAAAGTTTGGCCTCATCTTAATCCAGATATTGTCTGGACAGACTGGACTCAAAGATTCTGCCCAATCTAATATAGATAAAACAGTATATTTTATATGTATACACACAAATAACTACAGATATCATCATTATTATTTTTTACTGTACAGTATAGGTTTGTCAATAATCAAAATTATTTAGTTGTCGGCTGGGCCAGAACTGCTATGATTTTATGCAACTTGGTTCAGTGTTTCAGTTTCTAAGAAACAATAAGCCCACAGGTTTTGTTGTTTGGTGATGGTGTCTTTTTGTGTTTTAAATGTGAATTGTAATTGTCTTAGGGATGGAGCCATAAAAGAAGCCACTGAAAGAGTGGAAGTAGATGCAACAAAAGACAAATATTGTGAACTGATTCTCTGATATATTCAGGATGTTTTTGCCAGTTATGTAGATTCACGTAATTTTTGGATTAGTAGTTGCTTATTCTCTTGAATTTTGTAGCTTCTTTCTATTTATGCAGTTAAGAATCATGCTATTTTGGCGATTATATCATTTCCTGGTAATGGAATTGTTTGTTAAGAATCATTTTCAGGGTCTGGGTTTGTACAGAAATTTGAGCCATACTATTTTTGTTTTTTGTCAGAGTTGCCCCTCCTGGAGTTTGATATGTTTTTTTTTTGGGGTTTGTTATAGGTGACATTTAAAAATAGTAATTTTTATTTTTCTGACTTAAAATAGTGATTGGTTTGCTATGTTGCTGTTCTCCGAGCATATATCTTGTTGATTTAATGATGTAGTATTGATTGGATCATTGCTCTGGGAGTAGTGATTGGATCATTAGGTACCGTGATTTAATCGTAATAGGTATTAGGAGATTTTTAGGAGACCTGTGATATCCTTGATTTTCATAATATAGTTAACAATGTACCTCTTGTCTTGCTATCACATGAATACTTGTTATCTTTGGCCACAAACTGCATTGAGGCATCAAGTTTAAAGCTCCTAACTATGATGCTTGGTCAACCATATGAAGTTGTAGCTAAAAAAGTTTTCAAATAATTGTATTGAGCTTATCCAGGCCTTCCTGGAAATAGGCAAATTTATATTACAAACATGTTCTTATTTTCTTTGGTACTTCGAGAATAAATTTGGATTATGGTCTTAGCTCTCTGCTAAGAGAAAAACTACTGATGGCACTGTTTTTGTGATTTTTCTTTTCTTTTCTTTTCTAGGCATATCTGGATATGATTACAGAGTGAAAAAAAGGTGAAAGATGGTCTTGGATATGCTTTAAGTTTGACAGAGAGCCCATGATCTTTATGAGGAGGGACGGAATGTTGAGGATGGGGCAGCATTGTCACGTGTGCTTAATTTTGTAGCCATAGGCCCATAGCAAGCTATAGGATTATTGGCTTTGATTTCAGCTTAAATGGAAAATGAGCAGGGAGTAGAATTTGGGATGTGGAGATGGGTTCTGACAAGTTTTCTCATTGAGAACAAATTTGGAACAACATCTTCTGATTTACTTGTGTATTTTAAGAAGTGTTATTGCAAACTCATTTCTTTAAGGCGTTTGATCTCATAGAAATTAAACCAGAATGGAAGAACTTTGGGTACAAAAATGAGTTGTGACAGATTATATCATGTTGTGCGAAGAAATTTTGAACATCTTAACAAATTCTACCAATTTGTTTTTGTGTTTTGACTGTTAGGTCTCTAAGGCTTTGTAGCAAAATTAGAAACTAAGTTCATTGTTGTCCCTGGAGGCTGCATCTCACTTTAATTATGATACTGGGAGGTAACATGAGCTATATATAGAGATGCCCGTTCTTTTTCTGGACAATGGTGTGATATTTGATGGAAGGACATTTTTGATGTATTGAAGAGTTCGTTTTTTTTTTGATAAGTAAATATATATAAACAAAAACGCTCAAAGGGGAGGAGCGAACCCTTAACAAAACTAACAAAAGGCGCAAAAAGTGCCATTACAACAATAAGTTGTCAACAAAATCCAACAAACTGTCCACAGATGGACAATTCCTCCCATTAACTCAAGAAAAAAGCGAATGCAAAACATAGACTTAATAACCCACGTCGGCGCCTCCTTTCCCTCGAAAGATCTCCTGTTCCGCTCTAGCCACAGCCCCCACCAAACACAAAGAGGTGCAACCCTCCAAGCTTTCCTAACCCGACTACCCATTGATCTCCCTCTCCAAGGCTCTAACATGTCCACTGTGTTCCTTGACACAACCCACTCAACCCCAAACACATTTAGAACCATACTCCAAACATCTGCTGCCGCTTTGCAATGCAACAAGAGATGGTTAACCGATTCGCCCGTCATCTTACACATGCAACACCAATTAACTGTCATTCGGCCTCTTCTTTTAAGATTATTGATAGTAAGAATAAAATTGAAGAGTTCTTATTCTCGAAGCTTTCTTATCATAAGTAATCACAATGGAAATTTCCAACACTGTTTATAGGATCTTCATTTCCAACTGAGCGTGACAATACTGTAATATGCATTCACTAGGAATTTATAAAATTGTCTTGTAACTTGTGTCAATTTGTTGCAGTTTGTTCTTCTGTCTCACCTAACATGATAAGAGTCATCTGAAATGTTCAGGCTGAAAGTCAGGGAACTGGTACTCGACAACCTATTGCAGGCTAAGTTTTTCCTTTATGTCATGCATGATCAATCTTGTCTAGTCGCTCCTTGTTTCATCAGTTGCTGCTGCTGAGTGCAATGCTATTAGTTTCTGAACCCACATGACGTCTTACTAGTCGGTTCATGGTTCATGGTTCATGGTGACATGACAAAATTTTTCCAAAAATAACTGTAAAATATGTAACATATTTTGTGAGTTCTTTTAATTTTTTTTTTTCGTTATTCAATTTATCATGTAATTGCACTGATGTTATCTGGTTCGCAGTGGTTGCCTAGCTGTAGATTTATGCACATCGAGGATCTATAGCCTGCTTTAGTCACTGGTTGGTTTTAGGAGTACCTAAATATTTGCCAATGCAAACAAAACTAGGCATAATTTGGATTTAAAATATGTCGTTTATTGTAGAGAACAATCTAATCTCATTAAATTAACTAGTATTAGCCCAGCAATTGCCAGTATAATATATTTAGGTTTTGATAACAAGAAAAGAAAAAGAGTACTGTGAATGGTAGGCACCCTTTGCAGTCCAGTTGCATTTTTATTTCGTGCAGACTTATTTTAGCCAGAGCAATTAATAGTCTTTTCTTTGCTTGACTACAATATTAAGGGTAAGTGGTTGACTTTGTTATTTTTTTTTGCAGATAACTTATAAAATTACATTGTTGGTCTTATATAATCAGTTCCGATTATTTAATGTGCATAATTTTATCTCATTGCAGTAGCGTATTGTAAATGAAGAGCCGCACCTGGTGTAGAACGCGATGAAATGTTCAACTAAGTGCATTCAATCTTTTGACCCCAGGTGAACGGTATTACAAGATATATCAGACCTGATGTATGTCATCGAACACAGGATTATCTAATGTTATTATATGAAGTTTATTTCATTATTGGAGCAACTATTCTCAGCAACAAGTACCTCAGCTGGAAGCCTAGGGGGAATAAGAAAAAGATAAAAAAAAAAGATTGATACAAAGAAGGTATCTCAGCTGGATGGCTTGATCTTGATGGTGGTTATATTCACAGACTTGAGGGAACTTGTATAAATTTTATGCTTTTATAATATTTACAAAGGCACCTAAACTTGCAGTGATCTTAATGGCTCACTAAAACTTGCTATATTTCTTATATTATTTGCACTGAACAATGAATGTGATAGTATTACGACTCTTTAAAGTATATTCTGCCCTGAAAATCCAAGTTCAATCTTAGCCAGCTCCTTAATAAGATGGTGTTTAGAAGGTTTTGTGCTTGTTGTATGTCTCTTACAAGAGAGGGTGTTTTACTAGAGATCTCTAAATTGGGAGTGGTGACAGTTGACTCAACAATTACTTTATGTTTACAAGTTTTCCTTTAAAGGTGGCTCCTCTGTTTTCAGGGATGTTATCAAAATGGTTCTTTCCTGCTTCCCACCTTCACCGGCTTGGATGTGTACCGTTAGGTTTTGTGGATTATTGGATTGCGAATGCGTTTGTTATTATTATTATGTTTCATTTATGGTCATGCTGACTTCAACAGGATCGACTCCCATTCAATTTGATGTACAGGTGAGCTCCTTACCATTTGAAAACACAGTACTGACATGGATTGGTTGGACGAGGCTGTCAATAGATTGTGTATTTGTGTTGGCAGACATGAGTAAGCGATCAATGGTTTGAGTAGTTGTTTTGACAGTGTTTAAGATTTGATTAAATAACCAACAGGGTCAGTGGCTTAGCGGTACCAGGCCTCTACTTCTCAAAGAGAGGTTAGGAGTTCGAACTTCAGTGGAGACATGTGTGTGAGAGTTCGAGTTCCAATTAGGGGAAAAAAAAAAAAGATTGATTAAATAGGTTGCGTGTATATTGAAATTTGCTTGTTATTTTATTTATTATTATTATTACTATTTTGTTCGTGTCCCTCAATTTTTCCGTTACTAGTATCAAATATTAGTAAATGCGTGAAGTGGATAATTGAAAGGAACCTGATTGAGATCATACAGTGTAGGATTATTTTTCCCTTTTTGTTTTTCACTCTTTCTAATATGGTTTGTCATATTGTGGTGTGACAGATTGAAATACAGGTAAATGCAATTTGGGATATGTCTAACAAGATTTTTAATTTAATTTTTATTTATGTGAAATCAAAAGTAAATAGTGATGCATGTAGACAGCATAAAACAATGGTTTAAGCACTCAAGCCACAGCACAAAATGTGCAATAGCAAAACCAGTACTTAGCATAATTTTCCATTGTCATGAAGATGTGAAGAAAGCGTGACCTGCTTTTAAGACAGCCATTATGAGAGTATTCACATGAGTGAATCTTCACTTTTTGACCTCAAGTCATGTGTATAATTGAGTGCCCTTATTATTATGTTTACCAAGGACAATTACGATTAGTGGACCACATTCTGGGTCAGTCCGGTGTATACGTTCATTATATCTAAAGTTACACATATATGTGTGTGTGTATATATATATGAATGGTCTGGTATTATGAAAAAAATGTTGATGAATGCAGTCCATGATGAGTCTCTTTCATGAAAGCTGGTGGTTCTTTAATAAAAAATTCCTCTGGGTTGTTGATGTTGCAAGAGCATGGGTATGGGTCATGTGAGCAAGAAGACTTGGAGCTCTCAGCACATGGAGGGTAGGGTAGGGGAGAGAGAGAGAGAGCATTAATTTTGGCTTTAGACCTTTTAACTTTAATAAGTTTTAACCAAACAAAATGGAAAGGATTGTGAATGAGTAGGGTTGTTAAGTGTAATGAGATGACATAATGGTTAGTTATTGAGGGGACAAACCAACAAGAAAAGTGGTTACCCCAATTAACTTGTCTTAATTTAATCAAATCCCTCTTTAGTTGAAATGACACACTTGCACGTTCTTGAAAGGATTGAAAATCTCAAATTATTACGAATTGTGATGTCATATTTTTATCTTCTACTGATTTATATCATTTTTTTTTTCCTGACAAAGAACTTTCTCAATTTTCTCCAAACTTGAATTTTTGGACTTTTTATTTGAAATAAAATTTAGATATTATTAGATCACAAATTTTGATATTATCAATTTATATCTTGTATTATGTATCATTTTAGTAAAGGTTTAAACATTTATCATGCACATTAAGAGTAGAAGCGTGAGAGAGATTTTTATTTATAAGAAAAGATGAATCAAATAATCATCAAAACGGGAATGAAAAATTACAAGAAAAAATATATGAAACTGTAACTTGTTTTTTTTAATGAAAATTTGAGTAAGAAATAAAAAATTGAAAAATATAAAATTTTCATGGCATTAGGAAGAGAAAAAATTTACTAGTTGGGTTTATAGCACACTTTCCTGCAGATAGCGAGCATGTGTGTTAGTTTTATTACAAATTATACATCATGATGGGTCCAATGGTGCTCTTGTCAAAGTAGGTTGAATGGCGTTGAATGTCTCTTTCAAATTGATTTTCCATAGAAAAGTATGGTTGAGGCTTCCATGTACACACACACATATATATAAGGAAAAAAAAAAAAACATAGTAGTCAGAATGCAATCTCAAACATGTGAAGAGTGAAATAGGAAAGAAAATTAACTTTTTCATTTATAATATTAAGCAAAACATGTTCTAATATAATTTTTTCTATATATTATAATTATTTTTAGAGATAATTACTTTCACATCTTCTCTAGATGGATAACAAAATAGCTCGCCTTGTTGGGTACTTATCCCGCCCCATCCTTACTCACCCCGTTTAATAAACGATTTTGGGATTGAATTGAGGGTAACTATTCTAAGTGGGGATAGAGATGACATTCCTTACTCGAAACTGCTACATTACCATCCTTGTAGATTGCCTAAATAATAAGAACCTTCTCTGACATCCTTTATTATTGTTGACTTTGACCCAAAAATGCTAAATGACTATCATACCTATTACATTTTTTTATTTTTAAATATAAAATATTTATTTCTTTATGGACAAAATAGTATTTTTCAAGCTTTTTAGGGCGCGTAAAGCTCACGGTTGCATTTTTTTTTTTTTTTGTATTGGGTGCGGGGGTGGTGGTGGCGGCGGCTTTGGTTGTCGGAGAGCTGTGTGCAATGTGTTTGTAGTGGCAGTGATGTGGCAGCCAGGAGTCCCTTCGAAAAGGGCATAATAGGAAGAGAAGCGTAAATTAGAGTTTTAAAATTCATTTTATGTTAATTTTGACTAAGAAGTGGTTAGAGTGACTTATTTACATCGTTTTTGAATTTGATGAATTGAAATGCACATGTTTAAAAAGTAGGAATTATTTGTGCACAAAACCTATTTTTCAAGAACCCTAAAAAAATAAAAATCCTTCCATGGGTGTTGTAAATTTGTAATTGACCCTAGCATTTTCTAATAAAATTTTCCATTTCTTATTTTGTGTATCGTATTATATTTGCCCAACAATGGGACAACCACAAACCGAAAATAGACAATAATTTTTTGCGTAGTATAACAACTTGGGTCTGGACTGTGCGTCCTGACTAATCAAATAAGGTGTTCAGTCACTCTCTCCTTGGTCTCCTCTATCAACCATTTATTACTTGCCTAATTCATCATCCAGGTGGTCCAAGTTTTTATGACTTCTATAATTCTATTTCTTTATAGAAGCTAACCTCTCTGTGTGTATATATTATATTAAATATGAAAAAAGAGAGCAATTGTGCATCAACCTAATCAAAGAAGTACTATTGATCATGATATATTGTTAGGTTTGCATTAAAATTAGTTTTATAGCAAAACCAGATGTATGTGCTGCTCATTAAGGCTGCAACAAACACGACAATAAACAAGTAATTTTTTCAACCATTTAGGTATGGGACAAGGGACACGAATCTTATGTTTTTAATCTCTTCGTGTCATTAAGAGTATAAGAAGAATGTATGTAGCTTTAACTTCACACAAAAGTATTTTCTTATTTCGAACCTCTAAATTATAATAAAATAATCTTATTATATGGTATATGTAAAAAATGGTCATTTGTCCCACATCGGAATTAAATCGAAAAATAATTGGGTATAAATGGGTGAGTATGCAGCATTATCCAATAGTTTGAACTTTTGGGTAAATGGGTAAGCGCCTACCCGTTATAGTTGGTTTGGTATCAAAGTCAGACCCAATTCTTGATTCGGTGCTACGCCAAGCGGGTGAGCACCCCGGGTAGGAAGGGTGGCCCGAGCTGCAACGAGGGTATTACGAGTTTGGGTGAAGAAGAATGTAACATGGTCATTTGTCGCACATTGGAATCGAAAGTGATTGGGTATAATACTACGAGCTTTTGAATAAATGAGAAAGCGCCCACCCAATATATGTCTAGTCCTTTTTATTATTTACTTATTTATATTTTTTGAAAGTCTGTAATATAAGTTTTTTTTTTTCCTTGAGGTTTATAATATAAGTTGCCCCTTGTAAGTTGAAGCAATCGTTGTTAATGTGGGGGCCGGGACACCCAATCCATAGGTGAGCAAAAACGAGGACCATGTATTGACCGCCAAGTGATCTGAGTTTTGGTGTATCCACAAGGCATGGGCATCATGCCAACCAAGCGCAATTGATTTCACGTGAATCCACCATCTCTCCAAATCATATAAGAACAAAAACTAAAGGTTAAAAGTACTTAAAACACCCTGTAACACTAAAAACATATTCATGTACGTATTTATATGCCTGTTTTCTTCTCAAGAATTACTAAGCATGCCTATACTGTATTCATTTTCTTTTTCGTGCAGAGTCTATTTGACCAGCATATTTTGGTCACGAATGTATATTTCAGTGTAAGCATTAAATATTCATTTTATGTACTTGCACAGTATATTTGACCATTTGATGCATGCATTTGAAATTTAATGCTTACATTGAATAGCTTAAGATTCAAATTCTTACATTTTCAAATCAAACAAAACTTGACGGAATTCTCAAATCTAATTGATGTAGCAATCTTATAATCTTGTTCTAATAACTAACAAGACGGAAAGGACTCAAACTTCTTTTTCTTTTTTCGTTTGTGTGTCGTGTCTTGAAATGTCTAATATATATATTAATCAAATAAAACTTTGAGGGTTGAGTTTTGGCAGGAACAACTTATAAGTGCATGTTATTTGCCACACATATGTATAATGGCTCTTATTTTTAGCATGAAATTAGATAAATTCAAGAATGTAATATAGATAAGATAAGGGTAAAGTGCAAAAAAACTCTCCTGAATTATTGTTTTTTTTGCAACTAATCTCCCTGAACTAAAGATTGCTCCCCTAAATTAATGATTTGTTGCAATTAAGGACGAACTCATTACAAAAGACTATTCTAAAATGATAAATTTATTATAATAAAACTTATTATACTCACTTACAAAAAAAAATTAGTATAAAAAAATATCTCTTTTTCAAACAATATTCATGAAAATTAATAAAATACTTAAATAAAAAATATTTTCTTTTTAATGCAATATATTCATGAAAATTAAAAAATTACTTAAATTGTTTCAAATTTTTTTAATTTAATGGAGAATATATTATCAAATTAGTATGAATTTTTTTCATAATTTATTTTAACAAGAAAATATATCTAGTGTAATTCAATAAGAAAGGGTATTATGGTCATATAATGAAAAATAGGTAAGACAATGGGGCATTTTGCAACTAAATGTGATAGTTTGTGTGGTTTTTATGCATAAAACATACTTCAGGGAGCTTATTTGTAAATTTAGACATAATTGAGGGATTTTTTTTTTTTGCACTTTAGCAATAAGATAATGATAGAACTGACTATTAGAGTAAAAATGTATTTAATTAGGATAGAGACTATCATTATTCCATTAGTATAAAATCGCCTCTTAGTTACTTCCCGTTATTTTTAGAAATCAGGTTTCGAGTTTGGACCCTTAACACCTATAACTTTTAATCTAACATTTTTGACCTTAAAAAAAATTAAGAAATAAAAAATCAACTAATGTGCCTTTCATTATCATTCACAAACTTAAAATTCTTATTAAACATTATTTTTATATTAAATATTAGAGAAGGACTAAATTTTACGAGTCACAATTTACAAAGTGCATAACTATTTTGGAACAAAAGTATTATTAAAGATGGCAGCGGAAGAGGCGTGATAAATGCATTGATTATTGATCGCTTCATAATCACTCCTAATGGTAATCACAACAACGTACTTTTGGTCGTTTTATAACAAATGCCCTTTTGCAGTAGCTGGTCCTGTCCACTCCCAGTTTTGTTCATTCCATTTTTAGGCCCCTCTCTCTCTTTCTCATCCCTTTTCTCTTTCCCCATCTTCAACCAACCATGCTTCAGTTTCAGAATTTCTGCTGAAACCATCTCTAAATCGATTAATGCCTAGCTCTGTGAAGAACCCATTTCATTTGAAGAACTCAGCAGCTAATTTCGAAGCATTTTCTTAGAGGATTCTATCTTCAATTTTTTGAGGTAGAAACCCTTGTCTGTGTTTATAATTTTGCACTGTCTGCTTTCCTTTTTCTTCTTCTAAGTATAGAACCATCACATTAAGTAAGAATTGTGTAAATAAAACTTTCACTTCATGCTATAATGAGGGACTTTCCTTCTTGTTTTGGTGAAAATGGTGTTCAAGTTGCTGATTCTTCGTCACCAAGTAGTGGTAGAACTGCTCAAAATTCGGTTACATGTGTGTATCAGTGTCGATTAAGCGGATTTTCATGCTTGATTACTGTCACATGGACCAAATATTTGATGGGTCAAGGCCTCAGTGTTGGAATTGATGATTGGACCAATCACTGCCTCTGTAAAGTTGATATAAAACCATGGTTGTTCTCTAAAAGAAAAGGGTGTAGAAATTTAGCGGTGAATTCTAGTTTAATTGACATATTTTGGGACCTGTCCTCTGCTAAATTTGGTTCTGCACCGGAACCACTCGAGGGATTCTATTTGGCTGTTGTTTTTAATCAACAAATGGTTTTACTTCTTGGAGATTTGAGAAAGGAAGCATATAAGAAGATAGATGCAGCCCCTGTTGCTTCTAAAGCTAGTTTTATTGCTAAGAGAGAACACATCTTTGGGAAGAAGTTTTATGGTGCAAAGGCTCAGTTTTGTGATAAAGGGAAGACACATGATGTTGCAATTGAGTGTGACACTGTGGGTGTTAATGATCCATACCTTGTGATCCGTATAGACAGTAAGGCAGTGATGCAGGTCAAACACCTCCGATGGAAGTTCCGGGGCAATTACACCATTTTGGTGGATGGGCTTCCGGTTGAAGTGTTTTGGGATGTCCATGATTGGCTCTTTGGTAATGTGATGGGCAGTGCAGTTTTCATGTTCCAAACTTGTCTATCAGCTGAAAAATTGTGGAGCAGCCAATCTATCTCCGATCCCTCGGAATTGAGCTGGTCATCTTCCCAGACATTTAGAGATTCTCAATTACAAGGTCTTGGCTTTTCACTGATATTGTATGCTTGGAAGAATGAGTAGGAGTCTATTTTTCTTCTTTGAGTGTAGTGCTTGCATAGGAATACTTCGAGTGATAATATCTAATTATCTATTAATGGTTGCGATTATTGGAATACAGAAGATGCAATTTATAAGTGGATTTTCAATGTTTTTCTTAGTTTTAGCCTTTACTTGTTGCCCTTCTTGTTTACACTTAAATTAAGCATACTTGAAGATACTGAATGGCCCATAAATCTTCAAAATCATGGTTGCAAATGCAAGCATTGCAATATGATCTTCCTTTCTCAACCTCATGACTACAATAGTGATCCATGTATGTGAAAAGGCTTTCACCAAACAGAATGTAAGATGAACAAATTAATGTCAGTATCTCTTACTTGTTGCTAAAGAGGCATTGAACAGGTGAATTTTCATTTTTTGCTGCAGGATTTTAGTGTTTTGATGAAGGGAGTGAGCCAAATTCGTCTCAACAGTCCCGTTTGTCCTATCTAACAGGTTTACTGACTTTCTTCTGCTGCTAAAAACTAAAATATCTGTTTAATTTATTGAATAAAACATATTTTTTATGTTAATTTGCATACCGTCCATATCACATGTGCACTTGCTATTTGTAAACTTACAGTGCATATATAGTGTTTTTTTTTATGCTCTCCATTCTCCAATCAATGTTTTAGACTGTCAAGAACATATATCACGGTTAATGAAAAGTGACAATGTTGCAAGAACCAATCCAACGTACGTTGAATACTTGTGAGGTTCCAATAATTTTCTTCTATGAATTAAAATGGAGCATGAAGTTTTATTCTATCCAATTTGAAATTTAAAGTGGGTTTTAAGTGGTAGACTGTAAAAGAGAAGTTCATTTTAAATATTTAAAATTGGAAGATGGTTTGAGGTAAAGCAGAGGCTGTTGAAGCTACGTTTGGCTTCGAATGGTTTTCAGTGGAAGGTGGAATGGAAACAGAATGAAAGTTAGTTACAGAGAATAAAGTGAAGAACAATGCTTGGAGCCAAGGATTAAAATTTCCATTTGTTTCAATTAAAATGGTCGGAGTTTTTTTATTTCCTCATGAACCGCAATGAAACATGTATGGTAAAATGAAATTCACATGTTTATATTGAAGCAAAATTGTTATTCTCCATACAAAAAATGGTCAAAACTTGCCAAAACAGTCAAAATGCTGAAGTGATACAATATTTCAATGCAAATAGCAATCTCAAAGACCTGTAAAAAGCAATATCCATCTTTTTCAGAATAGAAGAGGGAACTTGAAGATGGGTACCTAAAAGTACTAGAACTATGAATGTTTTTAGTTTTATTTTTATTACAGAAGATAAGGGGAAGAGAGCGTATAGTAATACTTAGTTGCTAATTATTATAGGCTAGCTGCTACATGCTTCATTCATGTAGTTATTATACTTGTGCCAATTTAATGTATATTACATATAGTTCATATATATTGTGTTATATTGTATGTAATTTTCTATACTTTGTTTTACTAACAATTATTTTGATACTGATACACGTTTGCCATTCCACCTCAATTCAACCCCAGTATCATCTTGTGTGGATGAATGTGTAGGCTTGCAACATCGTAAATTAATCAATTGATTGGGTTATGTTCATCCGTTAATAAATGTTGAAGAATGCTACTCTAGCCGATAGTTCATACTTATTGTGTTATATTGTTTGTAATTTTCTATACTGAGTTTTACTAGCTGAGTCTTGTTTGATATTAGTTTGATACTGATACAGAAATGCCTTTCCTACTCAATTCAACCTCGGTGTCTTCTTGTGTGGATGGATGTGTAGGCTTGAAAGTTGAAACATAGTAAATCAATCAACTGCTTGGCTCATGTTCATTCATTAATATAGATGTTACTTTATGCTTTCAAGACTTTCCTTGAGTGTCCGAATCTTTTGCTGTTTCCCTAGTGTTCCTAAAAATGTTTCAGAGATGTTTCTGCTTGCAAGCTGACCGAAACAGGCACCTGGGACAAAATTTTGATTCTTGGTTGGAGCAAGGAAAAGAAACGAATGAAGTATCTTATTCGATCATATCTACACACACATATATGCATATACTGTTTTTTTGCTTTGGAATTACGTTTATGTGGTGGCATTGCAACCTGATCAACAAATACTTCAAGGGAGTTGCTGGAGATGAATTGTGAAATTTTTATTACTAAACGGAACGGAAAAAAAAAAAAAAAAAAGTATGACAAAATTATCAAAATTACTGAGTTTTGATTTAGGAGGGTGAGAAGTAGATGTCACTCAAATAAAGAAGATAGTCTTAACTCTTCTGGATGTGGTGGTGGAGTTGTGGTGATGTTGAATGGGCTGTTTTGCTCTAGAGAATGAACCATTAATTGTTCATGGTTTGTCTTAGCTAGTGTGAGTCTGTGACATGTACTTAAAATGTAACTGGGTATGATTGGTTGGTTGTTGCTAAAGGAAATTACCTAAATATTTATATTTATAAGTAGAATGATTTCTTTTTCTTTTACTGGTATTTTGATCAGCAGTGGTTGCTTGCTGACACTTGTGTGGATATCCTATAATAAACTCAAAGTTGGGAACAACTGCAGTGATGTATATGCAAGTGCTTCGAAAGGAATTTATATTTGACTGAGTTATGATGAACAATCTGAGCAATAAATATATGTATAGGACTTAAAAAAAAGAACAAAATTGAAGCATCATAGCTGAATTAGTCTGGTAAATTCTAATAGACCTTGTGGTGCTTCAACTCTTCCTACTGTGAAATTATCTTTCTTTTTCATCTGTGGAGACTGGGGATAGAACTTATGCTCATGCGACAAGACAAATGATATGCAAATTCCCGTATAAATATTCCAACTGTAGAATAATCAAAGTTTTTTAATTACCATATATTTTCCAACTGTCTGTATGATCATCCTTGAAAATCACAATATGATTCTTCAGTTTGCATTAAGTTCTGATATACACTTGACATTTTTAAAAAAAATATATGCACAAAGTGCAAGGTCCAATCTTAAAAATGAGCATAATGGGGTGTATGTTTAAGACTGAATAGCATGGTGGCGGGGGACTCGGCAACGGGTTGAACATTTTTGTGTAGACACTTAAGAGGGACATCGAATGAAAGATTAAGCTTGCTTTGATACCAGTTATTACAGAGATCGGGTGTAGGTTGTGTAACTTAAGTTATTAGATGGTGTTAATACATATTTTTATATGCTAAAAATCATTTTGCCTAAATCCGTCGTGAGAGAATAATTGAGAGACTAAAAACTTGATTCATCTTCTAAACAATAGAATTGTTCTAATCAAATCCAATCTGAGCCAGAGCCGTTCTAAAATGCCCATTTATTTGTACTCATTTAAGTTATTTATGTTTAAAGAAAGTTATTTTTGTTGCATTGAGTAACGCTATTCATATATTCTCTTAATATGCGCCTTATAATAGAGAAAAAAGAGACTATAATAAGGAATCTTGGTGGCAAAAGTCGTATTGCTCAAGTGGTTGATTTGTTTTTTTGCATTCAGAATCTATGTTCGAACTTTGCATCCCCCCTCTAATTACTTACCCCTAACATTCTTGTCAGAAAAAAAAAAAATCTGACATCACAATCTCTATATAATTTAATCAATTACAACTTGAATGGATTAACCAAAATTATTGGAGCCTATTCGTTTTTTATTTATAATTTTGGGGAAAAAAAAAAAAAAATAACTAACCCAAATTTAATTTGAATTGGCTTCGTTTGAAGTGTTAGTCACTCAAATTCACATCAAAATCTGACATTTTTTTCTTGTAACATTTATAATTTTAGATAAATATAAGATATATTTATTTCGTGATCATCTCTTGTAAATTAATTTGTTTATATAATATTATATATATTGAACATTTATTTATTTGAAGGAAAAAAATTCACAATGTTGCTTGTTAATACGATGTCGCTCGATATAATCTCGGCCCGTACCCTTATGAGAGGCCCTCGAAGCCCCATGCGTCTGTACAGAACCCCCCATATCCGCAGTTAGAAACGGAAAAGATGATAGCTCTCTCTCTCATCCCCCTCTCTCTTTCTAGTCCGCTGAAATTGCAACACTCTCCTTCACGACCCCATCTCTCCGATTCCATTTTCAGGTCAAAACTCTCTCCTATCACTTCCAGATCACCAAGTTTTCGCAACAAAACCGTAGTTCTCGGAAGCAATTCAAGTGACCCAAAGTCCAGGTTCTTGGACGAAAACGGTGTCGTTGATGACATGGATGGTTATCTCAATTATCTATCTCTGGAGTATGACTCTGTTTGGGACACCAAACCTTCCTGGTAAAGCTTATTCTTTGTTCTTTTCGTTTTATTGATTTCGTCCTGTCCTGATTTTCTTTGCCTGTCTTTTCAATTTTATCCATCCCCTTTTCCGTATTTGGCTACTTGACATGACTGAAATTTTATTTAAGTTTCTATATGTATTATTAGCAGAATTCAAGTAGTTCCATTCAATGCTGATACCTTACTAGTTACTGTTGTTTGGAAATGTGAAATGTGGTACACACAAGCATGTACATGTACAAATAACAAATTAAGGCTATAAATTTGGTTTTACTTCAGGAATTCCACCATCAAAACCCAGTTGTAATTTGTTTTTAAGTTCGGTTGTTTTAGATAAACATAAGTTGTGGCGTCTCATCTGAAACTCTCTTCTTGTTGGACAGCATTGGTTCTTTTCGTTTTCTTGATTTTTGTCTTGTACTGATTTTCTTTCTTTGGCTGTCTTTTCACTTTAATTTATCCCTTTCTGAATTTGGCTACTTCATATGAATGAAAAATTCTTCCTTTCTATATGTAGAATTCAAATAGTTTAATTGAATGCTTAAACCTCTTATTGATGTTAAATCTGGAATATGGTACACACAAGCATGTACATGTACATGTACAACTAACAAATTTTAAGGCTGGTGGGTTGTGAATAGAATCATAAACCAAGTTAAAAATATGTTTTTACGTCACGAATTGCACAATCAAAAACCCAGTTGTAAATTTGGTTGTTTTAGAAGAAACATAAGTTGTGGGGTCTAATCTGAAGCTCTTCTATTATTAGAACAGCATTGTATTCCAAAGAATGAAAAAAAAAAAAAAAGAAGGAAAAAAATACTTGTAAGAATAATATCTTTTTTAACTTAGAAAGTCTGTGGTTTAGCACATTACAAATGATATCCTGTTCCTCAGAGGCAGACAATTTTCATGGGAATTAATTGTTATATGAACCCATTCACCTTAGGTTGGAAAAAAAAGAAAAAAAAGAAAAAAAAAGAAAGAAAAGAATATGGACATTCAGTATTCGTGTGTGATAAATTGATAACCACTATATGACCTAGCAAAAGAATTTGGACACAATGAAACATAAAGCTTCTACCTGGGGATTGATTTTAAAAAAAATCATACCTATGGTACTTTTCGTTAGAAGTGATGGTGAAAGAGAGGTGTAGGGTGAGGAGTTTGATTCTTGCTGCTGTCAGTTGCAGTGGTCTTGCGGTATTTGGTTTCTGAGGAAAGAAAGGGACAAAGAAGTGAAAGATTCAGGATCTTCTGTTGTTGTGGCTGGACTGTTTGTTTTAAGCTTCCGAACTTCATTAACTTTTCCTTTCTTACAAACAAATAAAGTATTAAATTATTAATGCACTGCCTTCTGTTTGGGTTGGAAAGGTTGCTTTAATTTTTCAAATGCTTATTTCCTCCATTTACTCCTCACAGAGCGTTGATTTATTACATTTAATATTTTCAGTTTTATGTACTGAGCGGGTGAGTGCCGCCCTGCTTGAAATGTTGTATGTTTATGTAATATGCTATGACACATCAATCAAAGAACAAATGGGCATTACATTTAATATTTTCAGTTTTATGTTTTGTGCAGGGGAGTGCCGCCCTGCTTAAAATGTTGTATGTTTATTTAATATGCTATGGACACATCAATTAAAGAACAAATGGGCATTCAAAGTATAATTTGGGGTGTTTTCTACAACTTGAAATCTATAACAAGTCCCCCCCGCCCCCCAGCCCTTTTTGATTGTGTTTTAGGGCATAGAATGAAACACTCTTTTCTTTAATGTACCATTTTGATAATACATGTGGAGATTTGTGCTAATTTAATCACTTTGTTTGATTTCTTTGTTAGGTGTCAACCCTGGACAATAACATTGACGGGAGTATTATTGATTACTGGTAGCTGGCTAATTTTGCACTCTGTAGTAGTCACTGCAGTAGTTTTCTCTTTAATTTGTGCATGGTGGTACACTTTTCTGTATAGTTACCCTAAGGTATGAACATCATCTACTCAGTCTTCAATCTTCATTAGTATGCTTATTGGAACTAAGATGCATTCAGCTCTTTTCTGATATTTTAGCATGCTTAAATAAGTTTTTGTTTTTTTGGTTCACTTTTTGAACTCGTGGATATATTTGAGAGGAAGTTTGCCCTATTTTTTTTTGTTAATGGAATTCTTAAGCAATCTGATCTATGAGTAAAGCTTTTGTTGTTAATGGAATTCTTAAGAAATCTGTTCTATGAGTAAAGCAGTTCTCAATCCAATCACCTTTAACCAAATCAAAGATTGGAGGATGTTAAGAATCTCTCTCTCTCTCTCTCAAAACACGCCCACATCTACACCCCCACACACCCACAAACTATCTTCTTCTCCTGTAATATTTCAATTTCCTGTTGTATATGGGTAATTGTATATCTTCAATTTTTTGGAGACAATGGTATTTGAGATCGTCATATGAGATGATAAGTAATTATTTTGGAAGTTGTGATTGAAACAATAGTAGATAAGATTATAATAGCAACAGGTTTCAGATATGATCCAAATGAATTCTGATGCTTAAGTTGGTTATTATACCAATAGATTCAAGAAAGGCTCCAAACAAGTTCCGGTGCTTGTTTCTCTTAATACAGTAGTTGCTCGAAATCTGATCACTAGGAAGAAAAATAATAATAATAATTTGTTGGTTCCTTAACATGGTTTTATGTGTATACATTATAACTTTTTGACTGGCTTTCATTTGTATTTCCTAGGGCTTTTTTCTCTAGGAAAATGTTATCTACGTCTCTGACCACAAACTACAATGAGGCATCAATGCATTAAAGTTTAGCAAAAACTGGGCAATGCTTGACACAGGGTGACTCTGATAATGAATAACTATAGATTGGTGTTCTATCAAGCATAAGAAGGTTAGATGCAGAGTTCATCTAGCTGGTTCATGAAATCATACTGAGTTTTTGAAGTCCGTCCTTGTACTGGAAAAAAAAAATTATCTTAAGAAGTTAGTAGAGGTGCTTTGAAATTTAATATAAAATTGGTATCTATTATCTCCTTTCTTTCATAAATTAGGATCTAGATTATGAATTGACAGTTATGCGCTCACCCAAAGAAAGAAAGATACGGCATTTCAAATTTTCCTTTTCTTTCTCAGGCATATTCAGATATGATTGAAGAGCGAAGAAAGAAGGTGAAAAATGGTGTTGAAGACACATTTGGTTTGAGACAAAGCCAATGATCTTTACCATGATCGGAGGGCTGAGGATGGGGAACATTGACATCTGTAAGTTTGTAGTTACGGCAAGCTATGAAATTATTTGTCTTGATCTCACTTTAATGAAAATTCCGCAGGGAGGAGAATATTTGGCTGTGGAATTGGGTCCTATTATGAGTTATTATCTCATTCTAGAAGCAAACCAGATCTTAAAATCAGTGGTGTATGGTTCAGTCTGTTTTGATGAATAGCGGAATCAAGAAGAAGAAGGGTTCTCGTCAGAGGATGGCACATCTCATTGTAATTTTGATAATGGTGCTTAACTTGATTTGAACGAGGCTAGACGTCCTTCCCATTTCCAATTATTGCTGAGTTGTGGAAAATGGGAAAGGAGGCCTTTTCAATTATTTTAAAATTTTGTTATTGTCAAAAGTACCATCTAAGCTGTTGTGTAAGACCAGTGTAAATGGTTAGATCTTAACCAAATGTAATTAAATTGAGACATGATGGTGTTTAGAAGTATAAAATGTCAAGGTTTAATGTTGATACTTGGAAGTTTTATTGATTAATATTACAATATTGTACCTTCCAAAAAAATAAAATACAACAAGAAATAACTAATACGAAAACGAAACATGTCATACCCAAGTTGATTATGGATTATACTAGAGTAAAATCATTACTAATAATATATATCTTTTATTACATTGTAATAATATAACTCTTGCCTCTTTGTTGAATAAAATCATTGCTGGCTGATAGAAGAAAAATATAAAATATATTAAAAAGTAAACCATTTAAAATGGTCGCTAACATTGACAGCTCCTTATAATATCATACAACACATTACAAATCATCACCATATCCACCGTCGTCCCAGCAGCAAGATGGCAAATGCAGAGAGGAATTGAGAAAGATATAACTCCAATTTTCAATGTCTGATCTTCAGTCATGCACTTTCCGTGACAAATTAGTATTGTTGGATAAAAAGGAAGAAATTCACCTTGAAGATTTACTGGACCAATTAGTATTGTATTTTAGAGGGAGCCCAAACCCAAAATGGAAAATAAAAGAAAGTTCTTGGCAGAGGGAGTATTACTTTAAATGGAAGTTGTGTATGGTGGTGCGGTTTTCTATCTGGGGGTGTGCATGGCGGTTCATATTTCTTTCTCTTGTGGTGGTAGTTCTTCCACTAGAATTGACACATTTTTCTAATTTGTCAAGACTGTAATCTTGATTATAAGGGGGTGTTAATTAGGTTTGGTTGGTTTTGTGACTGTTAGTATTAAATGTGTGCTTGGTTTTATTTTTATGGCCGGTGTTCTTGTCTGTAGATGCCGTACGGGGTTTGGTTTGTTTTCTTACCAGAATAAAAAATAAAAATAAAAATAATAATAATAAAAAAAATATAGTGGTGGGTATTTTCGTCAATTCAGTTGCTCTAGTTAGTTCCGGTTCAAACCGGTTTATAATGTTAAATCGAACCGAACTAGCGGAAGATGGGTCATGTGGAACGGCCAGTCGGCTTAATCTTTTAATTTGACTAGGGTTCTCCTGTTTCGTTTGTTCATCAGACACACACAGAGAGAGATGACGACAATCCGAAGATTTTGCTGCAACGATCTTCTTCGGTTCACATCTGTAAATCTTGATCATCTTACTGAAACGGTAAGTGTTGCTTTACTAGGTTAATCTATTCTGAGTTAACAATTGATAATGAGGATTCGTAAAGGTATAATTTTGATGAGTACAGTTCAATATGTCATTCTATATGACCTACCTAGCGAGATGGCCTGACTATTTCCATGTCGCTGAAGCTCCGGGCAATCGAATTATGGGCTACAGTACGCGTCTATCTACCTTTCTCTGCCGTTTCTTTTTGATTTGTCGTTCCATCGTTTCTTTATTCTATTCACTCAATGTTGGCTCACATCGTTTGTTTGAATTTTAGTTTTCACCAAAGTTCATGCCTTTGAGACTGATTTTTTGTTTTTGTTTTTGTTATTGTTTTTAATTTGCTTTGATAGCTCTTACAAATATAGATTTTTTTGATAAACACTGACTATATTATATTTGTTAATCCATTTTATTTGGTTATAATTTAGAAGAGAGAAGATAGGAGAGATGGGCTCTTTGCATCTTCAAGAGAGAGAGAGGAGGAGGAAAACTGCAACGACCAACTTCCTGCCTCTCAAATATTAGACATTAGCAATGATATATTGGTTGGTTAACTGGCTAGAGTTTCATTAGGAGTATTTAGAAGTAATATTGCTTTATTTATTCATTTATTTATCTTTTGTGACTTTTAGTCCTTGGCTGAGGTTATAATCCTAGATAGAGCGGAGTGGTGAGAGTACTCAGTCCTAAACAGTTGGTGAAGTGTTATGTTGAGTTGAATTGAGTTATAGTGTCTGATTGTTGGGGATGTGGATAAGATCATTCTACAAATTTTTATTTCTACACATGAACAGAGTTTTAGAAGCACCAAATTTGAGCTAAGTCAAGATTAATGTGGGGCCGAAATCCCTATAAAGGGGGCAAAAAACACTAATTTGAGGCCACCAAACACAGCATGAAAGGACTTGCCAAATTGAAAGCACTTTGGAGCTGCCTCAACAACGCAAGCCCAATGAAATTAGAGACTTCATATATTAGGCATTTTTATTTAGGGACTTCGTATGTATTTTAGGCATTTTCTGATTCTAAGTTCAGCATTATTTTTCTCCCTCTATGTATATTTGATGTGATTTTAGTTTTCTCTTTGACAATGTCTTCGAAATTGTATTATTGGATTAGTCGACTGTCAACTCTATTTGGCATTGGATTAGTCACAGGAGTCATCAAGTATCTGCTCTAATTTAGCCTAGTGATATATCTAAAAGTGTAACATTGAAGCAGCAGGTAACCATTCTATTGTGTTGTTTTCACGTTACTAGCATATGCCCAAATATTGGCATATATTTCTCGTCAGAGCAAAGGTATATGTCAAGTCTTAGCTGTATATTCCGAAGCATCATATAATTTGATTCCATTTTCTGAAATTTTTAGTTCTTTCCATCGGAACCCTCTATTGCAAACTTTATGCTGTAACTTGCTAGGGACCTTTTTTTTTTTTTTTTCAGCATCTTTACTGGGATAAATTGGTTCCTATTATTAACGAAATATAAATCTAATCAGATTCATGATATCCACGAAATTTATTTAGGTAGAATTTTTAAAAACATTAACTGAAATTGCTACTTCCACTGCATCTCCCAATTTTTTTTTTTTCACTTCCATCTCTTTCTTCTTTTTCCTTAGCTTGATATTGTAATGTTCCTATTAGTTGCTCAAATCATATGAACCTATGTACTTAGTTTGGTGCAGTTATGGGCAAAGTTGAAGGGCAAGGTGAGTCTTGGCATGGCCATGTAACAGCCGTGACCGTCTCTCCTGAGTATCGCAGGCAGCAATTGGCCAAGAAACTTATGAACCTGCTAGAAGACATCAGTGACAAGATGTAAGTGGGAAATACATTAAATAAAATGAATTTCTTTTGCTGTTGTTATATCTCTTGATTTTTTAAACTCATAATAACAAGAGTATTACATAATTGTGATTTGGGCAGCACTTAATTTGACCAGCATCTTTCTCATGCGTTATATTGATAATATTAGAAAAATTAATCATATATCCTTTGGATTTGCTGATTTTTGCTTGGAAGTATTCATCCTATTTGTATGAACTAGAGATTGGTGCTTATGGTGCTTCCTCCCATCCCAACCAACGCACAGGCACAAAAGGGGGGTGGTTGGTGTGTGTGTGTGTTTGGGGGGGCTTTGTCTTGATGTGAGCAATCATTCTTGAACAGCACCTTTGGTGATCTCTCTCTCTCTCTCATCCATTTTCTTACTGCTCTTTTGTTCTTGTGTTTATGCAATCTCTTGTGCTTTAGTTTAATCTAGGGCATTGTTTAGTGCTTCATGAATTGAATTTATTTATAGGTTATTAGACGATAAAGATCTGAGTTGTGAGGTCACAACTGATACATGCTGCTGAAGCAGCTGAACCTATGAGGCTATTTATGTAGCACGTATGGATCATACATATATTTTCGTGGATCTGTATATGCCTTCAGCACTGATGTGAAAAAAGTTTTTTATTTGTGTTTTATATGTTAAGAAACCAGGGTTGCATTCATAGAATAAAACATGGAGTTACAATGAATTCTTGTTGAGACTTCTTTAGAGAAATATCTATGCATCTATATGGAATAGAAGAAGTATAGATTACTATTTACTGACTGAACCAATCATTTCCATACCAGTTCCAACTTAGAGGAATGTTATGGTAAAACTTCATTTGGGGCGATATGGTAGAAAGTAGTGTGCGACTTGAAGGGCACAATACATTGTGGATTCTTACATCCATCATTTTATATAGAACAATAGATAATATCAATGATGCAGGAGCAAGAAAGTTGTGTGTGTTCCTTAAGGAGACTGGCAATCTTAGGTGCTTTTTCCTCATCAAGGGAAGGGCTAGTGCTAGAGCTGTTTTGTCTCCTTCCACAGGTTGTTTGTGCTGCTCATTCTAACTTTTTGGTCAAATATTATTGAATTAGGCAACTAGATTGCACTAAAGTTTTTCTCTTTCTAATTTGTTATTGCATCTTTACTTGTTTATCTTATTTCTAATTTGTTATTGAATCTTTACTTGTTTATCTTATTATCTTATGGAGGTACACTGGAGTCATTACAGTTCACTAACCAGCCTGTATTTTAGATTTAAATTGAGTGAAGATTGGCAGATTATTTTAATACCTAACTCAACTCAATCAAGCCTTCTGAGTCTGCTGCACGATTATTGTCCCATGTTTTATTCCACTTTGGCATACTTTTGGCTAGATCATATAGTTGTAACTTTGTTTTTACTCTACTTTAATATATTTTTTTTGGTTTCCTTTTAGTCCTTGCACCAACTTCATAAATGTGTGGGTGTGTGTGTGTTTAAACCATTTTAACTGCTTTTCTTCCTTCGTCTTCAATGGTTGCTACATCTAACATCTTATGCATTTTTGTTATTGTCTTCACTGTATTATGTGGCAGTTATTAGCAAAACAAGTAACGATCTTACATTAATGGATCTTTTATGAAATGTGTTGTTCTCTCAGTTATCAGTCCTAAAGATACCTTCCTTTTGGCAGTGACAAGGCGTACTTTGTGGACCTCTTTGTGAGAGCATCAAACACACCGGCCATAAAGATGTATGAAAAGGTTGTGGTTCTCTAACCTTTTTTTATTTCCTTTGACAAATTCTAGAGCTAGTATCATCTTCATATGAGTTGTGAAATTTGGGTGAGCATCTAAAATAGGTCAAATGAAATTTCATTATTTGTTCTTTCTAAAATGGCTCTTCTTCTTTTCACTTCAGGAATTTTACCTCCAGTTTGCATGTAAACCTCCTTATGAACATTGTTTCTTTGTAGAATAAAACTCTTGAAACTATTGGGTTTCATTTAGTTGTATACATGTGTTTGCATTTGCCTGCTAGTATTCTTCACAAATATTGTTCGGTTGAATTTTTCTATCTTTGAAACATAATAGGGAGGTTTTCTGTAGTATAGATATAAAAAATAAATATTGAAAAGGTTTTGTATAAAAAAATTAAAATGGAAAATTGAATCTCTAGTGAGGATCAGCCAAAAATTCTAAATACCACTAGGAATCTGCATTGCCAACCCTTTTAATGAAGTTAACAAGGGAAAAAAGAAAAACCATTTTATAGTTGATACGAGCTTCCTCTATTACATGGTAAAGATACACGTGATGCTTGCGCAGTGAAAAAATTGTCGTGACACGCTGTTATTTATTACATAAATTTAAAACACATACATATACTAATGTAAATTGCACATTTGCGTAGTGAGAAACTCCTACCATCTATTTCTTGAAATTTGCATGATTGCATGTTGAGAAAATAAATTTAACCTTTGGATATTAAATTGTTCAGCATTAAAATTTTGCAGTAACAGCAATCCAGCCAAAGTAGGATACTCGTCTTCTTTTTTTTTTCACCTGTACAATTATAGAACAGGCTTGGCCTTTATCGAATGAGGTTTTGGATTTCCTTCCTTTTTGGATAACCTACTTAGCACTTGGCTTCTTACACATTGATCAGATTGATCAGAACTTCATATGAATCTTTTCTATATCTTTTCAAGCTTATAGCAACCACCTAAATACATAGATGGGGAAGCACCCACTTTTGAAAATTCTAAATTATGGATTCATCTAAATTAGCAAATAGCCATCAGTTGAAAGCCTAGAAACATCACCAGGTGACTGCACTCGCTAGATAGTATCCACTATCTGATGGACGATAGCCGTTGTTGAACTGTGCCCCAATTGTGTTGTGCTATGCAGATAAGTGGGTTCAATATATAATAATCTCCAAATGTTGCATGTACAAAGTTAGTTTATTAGACAGGTGGCTTGTTGCAAGAACTGCCTGGTAAATCATGGATTGGTGTTTTCTTCAATGTCGCTATTTATTATCATGCTCATTTGATCTACCTTTTTGGTTCTCAGCTTAATTATGTAATCTATAGACGGGTGCTGCGCTATTACTCTGGGGAGGAAGATGGGTTAGGTGATCTTTTTATTCAATCACAAAATGCCTATTTTGCTTTATAATTTGTGCTGCTTTTCACTTTGATGTAATTTGTTAATTCTTCAGATATGAGGAAAGCATTATCTCGGGATGTCGAAAAGAAGTCCATCATACCCCTCAAAAGGCCAGTTACTCCTGACGAACTGGAGTATGATTAGAATTTTTATTGTTGAACTTCTGCAAACTGAAATTGATGGAAATGCATCACCGTGCTTCTGGCATTTGGACATGCAGTGATTAGGCTTCAGATTGGTACCAATTTCAGGTATTGCAGATGTAACTAATAAATTATGTATGTATGGTCTCTGATGGTAAGTTATGCATGACAACGGGGAGAAGTGGGACGCCTTTTTAATGGTCGTCGAGGTTAATATGTTTGTACTGTTTTCTGTCATTGTGAATTTTGAATGACTTTGTTGCTTTATCTTACCTTTTCAAGCCTCTAAAAAGTCTTCTTCGAGGATTTTGCATTTCTTTTCTTGCCCCTTGATTCTTTGATTTTGGTAGTTTCCTGTCGAATGGAGCAGTTAGATGCTCACTTTTATAACAATGGCAGAGATATATGCAAGATATCATAATTTTCAACAAAATTAGTAGAATTAGATAGTTTATTGTCTGTATGGATGAAACTGTGTCCCTTAATTAGTCTTTGACCTGCAAGTACCCAACAAGTCTCCATGAGAAACGAAAAGGCTATCACGAGGGTGCTCTAACATAAGCTCTTTCCTTTTGTCGTTGGATCGAGCTGTGAGGGCGTGGGAACCTGACGGTGAGGTTGCCAACTTGTAGACATAAGCGTATGATGCTTGAGTAGAGATATTAGCATTGCGAAATACTGTAAAATCTCTATTTTTAAATCCAATGAAATAAGAAAAACTAAATGCGTGGACTACCCTGGCCAGGGACACCAAAACCTGGAGTAGAGAGTACAATTATAAATTCTTTCTCCTTGATGGCAACAGCAGGAGCCGTAACTCCTGGTTAATCGTCATGCTTCCATTTGCGTGTTGTTTTTTGGCATAAATATACAAAGCGGAGACGAAAGAAGGCACACAACATGATTCAAATATAGGACTCTGTGTGGTGATGGTAATTGGAGAAGCATTACAATATGAAAATTTAAAGATTCCAATACATGATAATTAAATTCTATCCTTTTTTTAATTTATTTGTATTGGAAACATGCCTGGTTGAGTTGAGCTTTTACCATTCATTAATTGCATAGTTTAAGCTCTTTGAAGTTACTACTGTTTTGAATCTATGGATCAAAGCCCCTCCTGTGTGATCTAGTTTTCAATCGTCAATTGGACCCAATCTTGGTAACCGACACTTATTTATTTATTTTTTATTATTATTATTTTGTGTGCAAGAAAAACTCTTCATACAAGAAGAGAAAAACTGTACAACATACATGGGGCCATAACCCATGGGCCTAAAAAGAAAATTGGTTTACAGCCCAAAGGCAAGTCAAGACAGAAGAGTCCGTTCAACACGGCTTGGTGGCCCAAGACCAGGGTAAATTGTTTCACTTTGGTTGTTCCAAAGTAATCACAAAATTAAAAAATAATTAAAAAATAAAAAATCTTCTTGAGCAATAATTCTAGAGTTCTAATATCGACCTATCTATTTTATCGTATAAAAAAGGGTGCCTATGAATACGTTCTAATATCGTCCTTTCTATGAATACCTATCATTTGTAGGGTAGGAAAGTACAAGGTTTTTTAAAATATGATTATATATTAATGCAAATAAGAAAACAATTAATCTTTTCTAATGCAAATAAGAAAACAATTAGAAAAGATTAATAATTCGATTCAAAATTGAGTAACAAATTTCTAAAGAAAACAAGGAGAGATAATAGTGACTACCAAACTTTAAGTAAATCATCAGTAAACCGATAACCACTAATACTAACACAGTAACAAATTCTTACACAAAAATAAGGAGATAATAGTGACTAAAATACTCCTAGAGAAGGCAAGGTGATGAGACTCGCTTAAAACTTTGGAGAAGGGCAACTTAAAGTAACAAATAAGGTGATAAGTTTGACAAACTCCTGGAGAAGCTAAAAGATGATAAGTCTGACAAACTCCTGGAGAAGCTAAGATGATAAGATTCAAATCTCTCCGAGAAGTGCATCTCTTAAAAGTGAGATGTAACAACTGAAATTTCACCTACTAACAAACTCTGGAAGCCTAAGAATTTTTTTTTTTTTTTAGACGAACTTTTAGTGTCTTGAGAAAACATATTCAGTGTAACGAGTATGAGTTTGAATTCCCTTCACTCAGGGATGGATCCATAAAAGTATGTGAGGGGGCAATCTTTACAAAAGAATGTTATGGAGTGTAATAATGGAGTTTTTCTCTAAGTTTAGGGGGCAAACTCAAAATTTTTCAAGTATATAAGTTTAAAAAATAAAATTAATGGGTAAAATTGCAAAAATACAAAATTTCAGTGGGGTTGCCCCCACTCAGCCCATCACTTGATGCACAAATATATATATATATATATATATTTTAAGGTATTCTCATTCCCATATATCAGCCCAATAATGACATGAGTGAGATTTAACCCTATCCAAACAGGCTCCAAGTCAGTGGAGGCTAGGCTAGATTCCATCTGGAAAATGGACCAGGTGGCTCATATATATATATAGTAAATGGGCTGAGTTGATATCAACTGCCTATTCAAAAAATAAAGCCCATCACTTTTGCAAAAAAAAATTCATAAAGTGCATGATTAGTTGTCGTGATGTAGGGAGTATTAGCCAAACATTAGAGGGGAAAAGCAAAGCAGCGATGGAAAATGGAGACATTACCAAAAATGGGTTTGAGGTCTGTGTCCCAAACAGGTTCATAGATGTATATCCTTTTGGGAAAGATGGTGCTTTCTATCTCTCTTTATCATACCATTTTTGTCAGTGTTTTAAGTTTGTGGTTCAATTCCTTTTATCTCATGTGCCTTCAAAAGTAGATTTCACTCCCCTCCCAGCCTAACTCTCCAAGTGCCATTCCCTTCTTTTTCATCATTAATTTCCAAATGTGTACCACCCCAATTGCAGTCTTCATAATGCAAACAACCTACACCATCTTTTATCATTACCGGACATACATTATTAAAAAAGTAACCAATTTTGTTATTGCATTTTCTAATGGTTTAATTTAGCAATTCATGTGCTTGTATGGTTTGAATTTTAATGGAACTTTTACATTCATCTCCATTAAGTTCAACTTTTCTTGTATGCAATTATTACATGTTTTCGTATTAATGGTCTTAGGTCAATCAACAGAACACATGTAATAAATGCAGTCATTTTGTTTCGACTTTATTATTTATTCAGTATTTTTGCTTGCGTGTTAACTATTTACTAATCCAGACCATATAATAATTTCTAAGGAAAGTAGGAACTCTTCAAATTTCGTTTATCTTGGTCTTGTTTTCACTTAAATGGGAAACCAAAACGTATGGGATTTTGTGGATCTCCACTGTCATTTTGAATAGAGAAGGATCAATTTGTCATTTTTCTTAGTTACTTTGCCTTCCATTTTCCACTTGTGTTTTGTAAAACTTTGCCTTCCATTTTCCACTTGTGTTTTGTAAAACTTTGCCTGCCATTTACACTTACACACACATACATACATACAAGAGGAAACCACTATAACAAAGAGCTCAAAAGGGGTGCATATTCTTTGCTATAACAACTTAATGTGCTTACCCAATTCTATCCACTAACTAAATTTGTGTACACTTCTCTACATCAACTTTCATTCATACTCTTCTGGTGTTATTGGCTTAGTGCTTATGTTTTGCATGTTTGTTTATTGTTTGTTTACCAAGCAATTTTTAATTTTAGTACACAAATTTGTTCCTTTCATTACTTATATCACTTCCTTAACATTTCGATCATCACTCCATAAAACACCATAAATGCTATTCCAATTAATTTTCCCTTTCTTTTTCTTCATAGTACACGGGAATATCCACTACTATAATTTATCATACAACATAATCAACCTACCTTCTCAAAGAGTACTTTGGAAATGTGAAAACGAATGGTTTCAGAAGAACAGAAGCTAGTGTAATAAAAACTCTTTGCAACTGTAAGAAATGTTTGTTTGATATCAGGATCGACACCGTCATCCGACAACACCAACCGCACAAGTTTTTGCATGTCCGATTCTATCTGGCTGCTGGTGATTTCGTCAGAGATGTCCGTATGATGTACCTAATCAAATTAAAACATGAAATAGCCATAAGTTCTTGCAAGTGATTCATTGTTAAGCTACATTTTATTTGCCGGGAATATATATATATACATGTATTAAAAAGAATTGTTTTTTTTTATGATCCTCCATGTGATTATATGGTGCTATTCAGTGTTCAAAACATGATTCCCAATTGGACCCAAATCCCTTCTCGTCCGAGAAGATTCTGTGTGTCCAGTACAACAAAATGATACACAAATATGAGATTCATGTTGTGGATTATAGGGAGGTTATGTACGCCATGTCCCACCATGAAGTGAGAAAAGAGAAAACTGAAGTTTTAGAGTCTTTCAAATGAGAAATATGGAGTATTGCAGAGAGTCAGAGGATTCTACAATATTGGACAACTTGTAAATATGAAGAGAAATTCACAAAAAATATATATGAAGTTTTGGAGTGTTATAAATATTTGTCTAAAGAATTCTAGAAGCTAAGAAGATGCCTATAAAAATGGTTATGGAGTGTGATTTGTGACCAAGTGAGTGTGTGTGCAAGCAGGGTGGAGGGAATGTTTGGCCCAAGTGAGTTAGAGTAAAGCTGAACAAAGCCCTATTATGAGAATAATGGAGAAACAAAGTGATAATAATATGACATTCAGAATCTCTAGATCCAATTCCCAAAGCTACACTAATCCAGAAGTTCAGAACAGATCATGTTCCCCGGTTTGAATGACACTGATAAGTAATTTTATCGTGTAATGTACGCTTTACCCGATTGTGAATCAAAATGTTATCGTGTAATGCACGCCCCGTGGGAGGTCCTACAACAATAGGTGAACTCACCGCTTCTGGATTTATCATGTAATGCACGCTCTATATTGTATTATTGTAGTGGGGTACAATAGTAACGATTCACGATAAACACACCGCTTCATTACTGTGGTCCCACCAAGTTACCGCTACACGATAAACTCACCGCTTAATTTTAATTTCAATAAATTTTTTTTAATCAAATTCTTCTGGATATGATCAAACCGCAAGGCTAATCGGAGATACAATCCGAGAAAAGATGAAACCATATGCAATATAACGACAACGTAGGATTCAGTGCCGGTAAATAATTTTATATGTAGTATTTATCTACTTGGAACTCATATGTAAAGAATGGATAGACATTATATATATAAAAAATATATTTTCACTAACCTGTTGAAATTCTCGGAGTTTATAGCAGAGTCCATTGGTAATATGAGAGAGGCACTGGTAATCTGGATTAGAAAGTAGCTCTTTGGATATGGAATGGCCAGCGCAGAGATTTAACATATGCACTAAGAGTTGTGTTTCAACTTCATATCTATCACCACCTTCAATCCATATTCTCATCCATGTTTCCCACTGATCCACATAATTAAAAAATCACAAAATTCCAAAACAATAATAAATATCAAAATCACTATGTATGTAAATATATATATAAAAAACATAAATGGGTAGTTTAGAATTGTAAATTAAATGTACTTACAGCTTCATGTAAGTGGTAACGGATGTCTTTACCATGCACCACCATTACATCCAATGAGAGCTGATTCACTGTTCCAAGCAGTGTCCTGACTAGTCTTTCTCCTGGCTTGTACCTGCAATACACACAATTAGACAGAATTGGATTATTTAAGAAACTTTAAAATCATTCATGCAAATTTAATTATAAGAAGACTTCATTAGTTTGATTGATTAATTATTTACCTTCCATTGATTGAATAGGTACTTTTTCTAAATCCTTGTATGAACACTCTTCTCTGCTCGTCTGAAGTTTCCGGCTTGTCAAAATAGGACCGGATTGTGTCGATCAAGACACTGGTTTTAGCCCAAGCAAGGCGTTCATTTGACCTTTCAGGTTCAAATAAATTCGCGGCAGCTAAATAATATGCAAAGAGAAGGCTTCTTTTACTCATTCCAAACTCTCCGAGGTTGCAACTCTCGTACCATCTGTGTAGATAGCAGCATACATAACTTTTAACGTACTACAACAGCGACTTTATTAATTATATAAAAGAGTAACGGACATCAACAATTACTTCTGAATGTTGTCCCATTCCAACATATGCAGTGCTTGGCACTTATTGTAGTCTAACTTTGCATGCTCAAGGTACAGGTTATTGTTGACACAAGGCATCCTGAGAACAAAGAGTTCATGAAGGGTACAAATTAGCATCTAAATCAAATTCATACAAATGCGATTTCAAATATGAGTTGAAACATGTTTTGACAAGAGAAAAGCCAATGCATTTTGTGATGACGCATTAATTAATGTTAAAAGTACATTCAACCTCCAATGATGGATGTATATATCTCAATTAATTGCATTATATATTTAAAGCTTCCAGATTCTAATTTTAAACTATATATATCCCAATACTTGATAACATTTCTTTTTCCTTTTGTTTCCAAAGATTCCAGGATGAACTTGCCTCATGTCCATTAAGATGCCCTTTTGTTTTCTTTCCCAGTGGGGATTTTATTCTAGTCTATCCACATCCAGTGGCTACAAACAAGTGCATGATTCTCATCTCTAATCAATTCACTAATTTAATCATTATTAGCACTAATTTTCGTGTTTGTGACACGGAAACTCATGTTTGAACACACATATCCATGCATATGATCAGGCAAGTATCCTTAACTGCGATTTGGATGCCGTCAAGGTTGACTGCTGTTTTGAAGTATATTAGAGATTGAGCAGCAACTGTTATGGTAAAATTAAAAGAAGGGGTACCTGTACAATGTTTTGCCGATCCATACATCATTTTCACCGCCGTATTGTTCTATGTAGAATCTTGTCTCCACACGAGGCAAGCTAGCATACCATGGCAAGTCCAGTGCGTACCCAACCTGTCATTGTCGCATTCTATTAGCATTTTTTAGAATTCAGAGTAATTAAGTGTATGCCACTACAAAGAATATGTACGTCCTAAACCATTTTGTCCTGACATGCATGAATCACGACAAGAGAGAGAATGTGAGTCTAGATCCTTTTAATGGTTCAAGATATACCCAGGGAGAGAGAGAGACAATATATTTTAGTGTTACCTCTCCTGGTAAGTCCTTTGCTATTATCCATTTATCGAGAAGTTCGTTGTTAGCTTGTTTCTCTCTTAAGAATTGGGATGAAAATTTCTTGGCATCCTCCAGTATTTTCTCTCCCGGAAATAGCACCTGGGACGCCCGGTAGAGATTAAACATTCCGGTGACAGCCTGGTTTGATTGTCCCCTGAAGCAGAAGAATTCACCGCCCTTCTCAAAATGTCGAAATACGTCTGTCAAAAAAATAAAAAATATTGTTATTCCCAATTACACATAAGTCAGCCTATTTGTCCCTAAGGGATTCGAACCCTTGTTATCACCTTTGCAGGTAGAAGCAATACCACTATGATACAAAGATTCTTTGATACGCATAACTCATGTTTATTCCTTAACTTTTCACTATAATGAAATTGACTGTGTTGATTCCATTATGGAACCCACCCGATTCGAAGGTCAAGGAGTGAAGTCGCATAGCGTCTCTAAAACCATATAGTATGAGTGATGAAGTATCCAGTAGATTGAATTACCTGCAGAAACCTCGTAACCATGTAATCTTAAAATTCTAAAACCCATGGCTGTGTCATCGATATCTTGAACAGGTGAATTTTTTGCCCAGCATATCCCTTCTTCGGTCCAGTATCTGAAGTTATAACAAAAACTATAGTTATCATTTCTAATCCCATGACTTGTCTAGCTAGTAATTATACTTTTAATTCAATTTACCTGTAGATATAATCAACACATTCTTTGATCTCTGACTGATAATATCGAGAAATTCCAAGGCGTTCCAGACGATCAACGGCCCATATGTGCTCGAATAAGTCCACAGGGTACACATTAGGGACTAAATGAATTAAATTAATCAAAATTAGTGCCCAATAATCATTTGAATTACGATGAATTGAAAGAGTGAAAGTTAAGTTCGCAGTTACGGATGGATAAAAAAGGCGGCAAATTAACTACCTCCACCACTGAATCTCTCAACAGCTCTGTTTAGATATGCAAGGCAATTATCATCTTTGGTCTGCATGAGTGCAAAGGCAGTGGACGATGGAGAAAACAAGAATGACCCATCTGGGCACTGTAATTGTAGTAACTTTTCCCAGTCCAGCTCTGGCATTCCTTCTAAGCTATGGAGTAGAGTTGTGGGCACTGTGTGCATTATGTGCTTTGGTATCCTATAGCACATGGATGCATAATAATTACGTACATGTAATGATATGTATAACTTGGGACCAAGCCCCTTTCTAAAAAATATATATTCGAAAGATAAGGCTACTTTTACTTCATTTATCCAAATAATGTATAGTGGAAAGTAGCGAACATCATAATCATGTTTCGAGTTTGGAGTCGTGAAGAAAAGTATATACTTTCTGAGCTTTAGATTTCTCTTGGCATATATCTCCTCCAACACTTGAGAATCATCAGGAACTTCAATGTCTAGTTTCCGAGCCATTTCGATGAGTGAAGGGAACGCAACTTCAAAGCCGATTGGCATGTGTTGGTCGCTCTCATTTCCAAGCTTATGCATGTTTTCTTTAATAAATAACAACCCTGTTGTCACCAGCCACAAAATTAATTAGTAGTAATAAAAATTCGAGAGATGTTTAGAGTTAATTAATAAATTTTCATTTCATTTTGTTACCTTTTTCACATTTGTCCTGATGAATATTCCATGATTTCATTGCAATTACACAAGCTAAGGTGTTGATTATGCGATCGTGAGCTGAAAATATGTAGCTGTCACCCCAAGAACCATCGGAGAGCTGATTGTTGGCGATCCATTGAAGGCTAGAAGGGAATTGAGGGGAACCACTTCCATGAATATCTTGAACAAGAGCAACCCATGCAGTATCATAGGCCGATATGCTTATCTCTCCATCATTCATCGAACCTAACATTGATCGGATGAAATCGACGTGTTGCTTGATCTTATTTGAGACAGACACCTTTCCACAAAACCAATCTCATCAATACCATAAATTAGTTTCCTACAACATATACAACCAAAGAAGCAAAAATAGAAAAAGGAAGGATTGTATAAACCACCTCAACTGTTCCTCCTTCTATGTCATCTTCCACAATCTCGCTCCACTTTATCAGTGGCAAACCATTTCGAGACACATCCGTATACTCTGCAAATACAAATCAAAAGTTACATATCGAGTATCTACGTAGGTATATATACATATATGGCCTTTTGAAATTCCGTCTTTTTTAGAGAAAAATATGCTTGAAATGTACCTTCAGTACGGGGTCTCAACACAGCTTTGCATTGCAGACGGACATCAAATTTTACCTGTTCGTCCTTGGGCCCAACTGACCAAAAACATACCGAACACAACAGATAAAAAAAAGAAACATGAAATTATTGTGTATTAAGTATATTCTTCTATATAGCAACATGGGTTTGAATGACTTGAACCAATTAAAATATATAGATGGATCATTTGCTAGCAAACTCTGTTTTTGCTTTTTCTCCAGAAAAAAACTGGAAACATAAAAATCTTGAGAGAGACCTGGCGCTTATCAAACCAAATAAGTAATTTAATGAAAACTTGATGCTATATTTCTGGGGGAAAAAATGGTTAGTGATAATAAGTAATTATGAATTCCTTTTAGAAAGTGATTGCGAAACCCAAAAAAAAAAAAACCTTTTATAAAGGAACGGAGTAAACAAACAAACTTACCCAGGAAAAAATTTGATTGATGTTTTGCAGGAGATGATAAGAAAAATCTGTGGATGGTGTTGGAGAAACCAGAGAGGAGAGTAGATGATTGAGAAGACATGTTGCTTTTGTTTTGTTTTAGAGCTGGTGGGACGATAGTGTGAAGATGAAAGGATTTAAATAGAGAGGGGGAAGGGAACCGGACAGAAAGGACTTCCCAATAGATTCCTACTGATGGGTGCGGGGATCATCCAAATATATGAAATTGAGCATACACTCCTGTCCTTTTCCTCAAATATATATATATATTAATTTTTTGTTTTTGTTTTTTGTTTTCGGGGATGATTAATTGCGAATCCATGCAATCTAATTTTCTTTAAATTTCGTGACTAAATTTTAATGGATCATCAGTTTTACAGTGAATTTATTACCAATTATTAATGAATTAATTGGAAATGCCTAATAAAGAACCAAATTCAAAAATGCCTAATAAGTATATCATCACATGAAATGAGATGGTGGGTCCCACATCCACTCATATTTTAGTTAAAATTAAAAAAAAAAAAACATTTTTTTGGGACAGGGTGAATATCACTTTTTGTAAATTTATGGTGTAAATTTTTTTTTTTTGTAAATAATTTATGACGCAATATTAATTTTTGTTAAAAAGTATATATTTTAACAAACTCAAAATATAATTTAGATAGGGGGATTTATAACTCAAAAATATAGTCTAAATAAAGTGAATATATAGATGTGAGTAGTGAATTATCGAGAAGTACAAAATTATTTTTTAAAAAGAACAGGCTGCAGTTTTAATTTATCACCAACTCATTAATTTATATAGCAGTTCTTAATTTATTTATTCAAGCCGATAATTTATTTTCTTGGATTAAAACTATCAATTGGCGTTCTTTTCTACCTACTGTCGTAATTTAAAATAATTTATACTTCTCAATTATTCACTTTTCAATTATATCCTTCTATTCAAAATGTAGTTTGTGTCGGGATAAAATATAATTTCTGTCCGGATAAATTAGTATGGGTTGATAAATCCATTTTTGTCTAGGGTGATATTAACATGTTCAATTCCTAATTTGGAGCACATTTATTTCAATCACACATTTATAATTGTGGGGTAAACATTTACAAATGTGTACCCCACAATTATAAATGTGTGATTGAAATAAATATATATATATATATATATATTTGGTGGGGTACACATATAATGTTTTTAACAGATTTAATCTCCAACAACCTTGAATACTCATCTGAACATTTCAATAATAAACAACATTTTCAACACATTTATTTGAATAACACAAATATGTGTTTTTTAACATATTTATTTCAATATAGTTTAGATAAAAGGAGCATAAATTTGAGAAATGGATAATTGAAAAAACAAAACTGTTTTAGAACGTTGTCGTGGACAACACAATTATTATTGAAATAAAGGTGTTATTAAATATGTTTTTTTAACCCCTTTATATCAATGTAGTCTAAATAAAAATGAATATACAAATGTGAGTAGAAAATAATTGAGAAGTATAAAATTATTTCAGAAAGAAACATGGTGCACTTTAAATTTAAGGGTGATATTTTATCAAGAACAACATTTTCAATCCATTATTTTTGAATTAAACACATCCAACTCCTCATTTGGAAGACATTTATTTCAATAACACATTCAGGGGTTCATAAATGTGTTTTAACTTTTTGCAACATATTTATTGTAAATATATATGTTATTGAAATAAATATGTTCAAATGAGTATTTAAGTTTGTTAAAGAATAAATTGGTTAAAAATATTATACGTGTATCCCACCAATATATATATATAAAAATTTTGATTATAAATTTGAGACGTGGATAATTGAGAATATAATTTTTAAAAAAAACATAAGATGAAAGAAGCGCGATCGATAGATGAAAGTGGACAAAAAACACCCCCCCTGAGAGCACTCGTGGGTGTCGGGATCATCAAAATATATAAAATTTATTATACTAATTTTTTTCATATATATATATATTTCATAGTTAATACTCACGCCTCTCCTAAAGAATTGGTTACACCCCAAAAAAATTCGATCTTTAAAGAGATACCAGTCAAGTGGCCACTTCAATCAACCCTTTAAAGTTTGGTTTTTTTTTTTTTTCTTATAAAAAAAAGGAGAATGATTCATCCTTTGATATATATATATATTTCCCCCCCTATCTTCCCCCCCCCTATCTTCTGGTTTCAAGTTTCAACTCTTTTGGTACATACATTTTTCACATGCCAATTTCTAGAAAATTCATGTTTCTAGAAATATTTTGGAATATTAATTTACATCAAATTAGAACATTTTTACATAAAGGAAATTGATCGGTGATGATGGAAAATTACCGAACTCACCTCCTTATTTTTAAATGTTATTCATTATTGGTGCAATGACTTTATCACCCAGTACCATGCAACTGAGAAAATATGAGTATAGTCTAGGTATAGTGGATGTATCACCCAATACTAATTTATCACACAGAAAGTATAATCTAATTTGATGTAAATTAATTAGATACACTTAAATACCCATCTGAACATATTTATTTGAATTACACATTTTTCTTTTGGGTAAGTAAATTTGAATTAAACATTTATTATCAAAATATTTTTTTTTTTTTTTTTTTTTTTTTTTTTTTAACAGTGTTTTCATCAACACAACATTTTCACTTCTCACCTAAGTCATATAAAGCGGGAATGAGAACGAATTCAAGAGAGGAAGTGCGAAAGCAGTAAAATTAAGTCACAAATAGTAAGAAAATGAATGAGAGTGGAAGTGCACTCAAAGTATAAGGACGATACCCGTTGAAAAAATTTGTGTGATTAGGCTTATTTGGTTTGTAATTCTAAAAAGATAAAAAAGTGTATAAAAAATTCTGTTTAGTTTATTTTTTAAAAAATTCAATTATAAAAATGTCTAGTTTTAGATAACTGTTTTTTATAATTCTCTAAAAACAGTTTTCTTTGTTCTCTGCATTTTTTAACATTGTTTTCAAAATTACAAACTAAATAAAAGTTTCGGACTTACTTAGTTTGTAATTCTGAAATGAGTTCTCAAAAATTTAGAGAATAAAAAACAGTTTTCAGGTAATAATAAAAATAATTATCTGAAAAAAAGATTTTTTATAATTGAGTTTTTTTAAAAACTAAATCAAATATAATTTTTTTATATAATTTTTTATCTTCTCTCAAATTATTTTCAAAATTATAAACCAAGCAAAGTCGTACTCTTACAAGTGGTGCGTCCAAAACTATTACAGAATGTTGTTGGATTTATCGAGGACAGATGGGCTACGGACAGGTGGTTCATGTGGGAAAAGCCTGGTAGAGCCTAAAGGTGTGGACCACTCAGGTGAGTTATCATACATCCTAATCATAGTTTGACATGCGCAACAAAATTTGGACTGCTCTATACGTACGTATACATGTATTATTTGTTTTTTTGTTTTTATTTTTTTCCCCTTTTGAATTCCAATAAAACCATTTTAAACATTCTAACCACCTCATTGTATTTCATATGTAGTTTCTTCAATTACTTTACCCACCATAACTCTTCATATATGAAATTTTTTGTTTTTTTTTTCATTCATTCCTATCATGACTCTTCTCCTCTAATATTTAATTTTTAAATTGTTCTTAATAATCAAAATATTTTATTAAAACTCACAATATGTTAAGAATTGCGGTAGTAGCTTCAAAATTAGTAAATGGAAATATAATTTGATTGTGATTAAAGATGAAATGGTGGGTCTGACTTTAAAAACCTGACCTCTCTTGATTGATTTTGTTGGGTGGTAGTTAAAATCCCTCTATTATTGGTAAAGCGGAGCATAAGCAATATAATCTATATATGCCTATATACATATATTATTACTCAAAAAGAGCTTATGTTGCTCTGCTCATCATGGGTATATATATATATATATATATATATTCATTATTCAGGTCTACATTGACTATTGTCATAATGCCATAAACCACCTCATGAAATGTATATATATATACACGCACATATTACAGACTTACAGTGTCATTTGGAATTATGGAATATGTACAACAATGTCATGACACGAGTATCCTAGTGGGGAAACTTGGCTGATAAATATTTTCCGAATCAGTACAATCGATTGTGGGTCCACTTAATAATACTACAGTAGTACACTTGTTTTATGTCCAAAACCTATTCTGCTAGCGGGGAGGTATTGAGTATTTTCGAAGTACCGAAGAAAATAGTATCACAACCAATGAAATAATAATTGCTAATTGGATTGGGATATCATATGAAAAATAATAGGGACACAAAAGTAACCCGAAGTAGTTTTGTGTAACAAGGGTTATTTGTCTCACATCGAAATTGGATGAAAAAGTGATTGGGTATAAATGAGTGGGTACGCAATATTACCCAATAGTTCGAGCTTTCGGATAAATGGGCAAGCGCCCACCCATTACAGTTGGTATAAGAACCAGACCCAATCCTTGATCCGGTGTCACGCCAAGCGCCCGGCCAGGAAGACGTCCAGGCTAGCACCCTAGGTAGGCAGGATGGCCTGAACCGCAACGAGGGCTTTGCGAGTTTGGGTGAGGGAGAATGTAACAAGGGTCATTTGTCTCACATCGGAATCGGATGGAAAAGTGATTTGGTATAAATGGGTGGGTATGCAGCATTACCCAATAATTTGAGCTTTTGGGTAAATGGGTAAGCGCCCACCCTTTACATTTTGTCATTAAGGTTCTTTAAATATCTTACTTGTATAATTTTTTTATTTTTTACATCACATGATAAAATTCAAAGACAAGAAATGTTGGTTGAATATAGTGGAAAGAGAAGGTTGGATGTCCTGTTCTTGCCATTGCCATTGCTATTGCAATCACCATCACTGTCACTATCACTATTATTGTCAGTGTCACTGTCACTGTAGGTTTACACATATATATACATATTTATATATATGGACTTTCTCCATCTCCATGACTTTACTAGGGCCAATTTCAAAACCCTAGTTTAATTCACTTTTACTCCGTCTAAGTTTAAGATCTATTACTTCAATTTGAACATTATGCAAAGCTTAATTTTGAATTAGTAGGCTACAATTTGACTCTAAAACTTTATTATGAATAATCTTTTCACAGAGAGAGAGAGAGAAAGAGAGGTTGAGTAAATTTTCAGGAAGAGAAAATGAATAAAATTTAAGTTCCTAATTGTAGAGAAAAACTGAAGAGTTTGAAAAAGAGAGGTAAATTTTTAGAGAGAGAAAGTGAATTTCAGACTCAATTTTAGATAGAGAAAATAAAGAA